GTACACCGGCTGAACTTGAATCTTGTTGTTCGATATCAATGCTGTCCACTTGAATGAGCGTAAATTCCCGGTTCTGAAAATCTAGCGTAAATCCTGCAACGGAGCTAATTGCCAGTCAGCTATTATTTCTAATTATTGGTAGGTGTACAACTTACCCCGTATTTACCACTCGGATTCTGTAGGCTGCATGACCCTTCGCATCCAGGTATGAGACGTTCATACGTCGAAGGACACAGTCCACTGGCCGTGCAGGTACAGCCATAGAGCAATCAAAGTGACCCACTCCATTGATCAGTAGTGAATCTGGGACGGGCTGGTTGGGGTTAATCTTCGTACTCATTAAGACAGTATGGCAAGACTGACCCCGTTCCCAAATGACCCGGCACGCATATACCAGGAATAGACCTGATCTGCCGGTCGGTGATACCAATCCCCAACTAAGAGTAGAATGTCCTTATCATAGCTGCCATGTTCCTGCTGATCTGCACGAGCCAACAGTCCCCGAACTGTGGGCTTAGGAGAGGGTTCATGCACGATGAGCCCCCCATATAGGCCATCAGCCCTGAGAAGGCCAGAGTGAGCGTGGTACCAGAATGTGCCGCTTTGATCTGCGGGAATTGTGAAATTGTAGGTAAACGTGGACCCTGGCGGAATAGCGCGTTGTGTCACACCAACGGCTCCATCCATAGCATCTAGATGACTTGTTAGTCAAGCAGACCAGCCAATGCCCAAGCATTTAACTTACTCTCAATATGTACTCCATGCCAATGGATGGAGATTGGCTCTTCGTCCAAAGAATTGGTCACATTTACTATCAAGCGGTCACCAGATCGTGCTTCAACCGTGGGCCCGGGAAATATATCTAAGTTGTATATAAGTATGTGGCGTGATGTAAACGAGAATATAAAAATTACCATTGATCAGATAAACCCTTTTCAGCACTCCATCTGGGCGTCGATGGTCGGCGGTCACCACCCAGTCATGATGTTGCGTTGAAGGATTGCGGCATACATGATCCTCCGGATGGAGCTCGATCAAAGGACGCGATACATCAGGCTCATGTACAGTCAGATGTATCTGGCTATTTGAGACTCTCGATGGAATCAAGCGTTGTAGAGGGCTTGGCTGCGAAATTTGTGCCACGAACAGCAGAAGGATCAGGCCACATATAGTAGCCGGATACAATACAATACCCCATGGCAATCGTCGTAGTCGCAACGACGATGACTGCTGCGAGCCTAACAGAATACTTCCCTGTTCTTTCATCTTTTGACAGCCTTGTAGGTTGATCTGGATTCTTCCACATCTCCCATCAGGCCCAGCATGCTTGTTCGAGCCCCATGTGTCTTTAAACCCAGACCATGACTATGAGCCATTTTGAATACATGTGGGGCCAGAAAGAAAACAGTGGCTATACTGCAGAATACATGTACCTGTCAGTATGAACAGAATGAGTAAGTGATGTTCAGGTCCGCCACTGACCGATGTTTTGAAACAAGATTCAACCAAGGTTCGGCCAAACAGGTGGCTTTTGTATGGACTGCCACTCTGCCTGCAGCCGGATTTTTAAACTCAAATTGGACTCAAAGTTGGTTCCTGATCAATGGGTTCAGGTACAATGCCGATATCCATGACCATGCCGGTGTTGATATTAGCCGACAGAGAGACTGTTGCCATTGTGGATATATCAAAAAGGTCCACCGTGAAGGCCGCCACCATTAAACCACCGCTGACTGATTAGCGATGAAAACTTAGTTGCTGGGAGACTAGAAGGCTAGAGAGAAGAATTGAAAGCCAGAAAAGTTGTTCCTGAGCAAGAGAGCCAGTCGGACAGATTGCCGTTCTCTACACGTGCCCGGACGCCAGCCAACCAGATTCCCTTCCATGGAGACTCGTCTTCCGCCTAGTCCTCTGTCTCCTGATGTATTCTTGTAAGAAGATGTCATATATCTTCTGAAACATCCACACCCATTCAAAGTGGATCATGCTTTACCCACCATAGAGGACGATCGCTCTTCCCTTTAGGGCGGCCTAAATAATGGCTCGTCGAATCCGATCTTCAGTAACAAACACTATTCCACGTTACGTCCCACTTTGGCAGGAGTAATCACAATCCAGACAGTTGGATTACTATGGTTGTGTTGGGAATCATGGGTTATCAACTGTCCGGTGTTGCGGCCTTGTCTGGACCTAGACCATGCAGAGTCCCCACTTTCGCTCAAGATTTTCGAGATATATAAAGCAGGTGGAATGCACCTGAAGCCCTATCATACGACACTCTCAAGAGTACTAGCCGCTTCAAAATGTTACTACTTGGTTCTACTGCCTTGGCTTTGCTCCTCGGGAGCAGGTCAGTTTCTGCCGGTTCGCTGAAGGACATCAAGCATGTTGTAATCTTTATGCAGGAGAACCGATCATGGAATAGTGTAAGTCTACCTGATATCAGCCAATTTAGGCAAACATAATAACTGTGTACAGTACTTTGGCACAATGGCAGGCGTCCGAGGATTCAACGACCCAAACGTACAGGTCAATCCAGATGGATTACCTGTTTGGTACCAGTCAGTGTGCTTTCATGTGTTTTTGAGGCCTTGTGCTGATAAGAGTATTAGACAAGTCGATCCTGACATGTCCAATGCTACAACAACCCTCCTCCCTTGGTATCTAGGTTATCAAGGAGGGAACACGACAGACGCGATCCAGTGCATGGCAGCGGGAGATAACGGCTACGAGGATAGTCATGCCTCCCTCAACGGAGGACTGAACAATCACTGGGCCCGCAATAACACCCCCTGGAGTTGGGGATATTTCAAGAGAGACGATATCCCTGTTCATTATGCTATCGCCGAGGGTTGGACGGCCGGCGATATGTATCAAGTATGTTCTGCTATTACACTGTCAAACCTATGTCTAATACCCTACAGGAGTCCCAAGTAACCTCCACCAATCCGAATCGTGTTACCCTAGTGAGCGGCTCCGTCAATGTACCTGGTGGTCCTCAAAAGCCCGATCAAGGTGGCGTTTATATCGACAATAATGTAACACCTGGTACGTCCGCTCCGACTATTCATACACTTCATCATACCGCTGGAAGTTAGCTGACTGTTGGCTTCTAGGGTGCGATAGCTATCATATCAACTGCTATCCCCTTAAGTGGAAAACAATATTCGAAGTCTACGAAGAGGCAGGCGTCTCATGGCAGGTCTACCAGGATAAAGACAACTTTGACGACAACCCCCTGGCACGGTTCGAGCAGTACCAGAACGCTTCGTCTTCCTCACCGCTCGTAGAGAAAGGCATGGCGTTTTTGGGATTAGAAACCTTCTATGAAGCTGCTGCCAACGGGACCCTTCCGGAAATCAGCTTTATTGTCGGCCCTGCAGAGTTGTCAGAGCACCCACCTTATATGCCCAAGGACGGTGCCTGGCTGCAGAAGAAGGTTGTGGATGCAGTGACAAGTAGCCCCGCATACGAATCTACGCTGCTCATGATAAGCTACGACGGTAAGATACTCTTAATCAGCCCCTTAGCGAGCGAGTCTAACGATATGACAGAATCCGGTGGTTACGGAGACCATGTCATTCCTTTCCACTCACCAGAAGGCACACCGGGTGAGTGGATGGAGGACCCTTATGGCGTATTTGGAAAACTATATGTTGGACCTGGTAAGTCCCGCAATCAACCCATGTCATATTATTCTCGCTGACTTCTTAGGCCTTCGAGTACCCTTCTATATGGTGTCCCCGTGGACCCGTGGCAACCGTGTTTTTACTGAGAGGGCGGATCATAATTCTCAAATTCTGTTCTTGGAGCAGTGGCTTACGGCAAGGGGCTATGAGAATGTGCAGACGCCAGAAATGGTTCACTGGCGCCGGGAACATATGTCCAACCTCGTCAATGCACTGGACCTAGACCATGTACGACCACCCCCCTCTATCCACCACATTGATATCGAGCTAATCCATGAGATAGCCTGACACCAGCCTACCAGAACTACCAAAGGCCGAAGACCCTGAAATGTCCTCAGGCTCTTACGTCGGCACATCCAACTGCGAAGCAACGTTTCCAGAGCCCCGTCCTCCTGTACCATATGGGAAGCAGAATGTGACCGAGTCATTGTTTTTCGAGGACGGATACAAAGAGGTTGTCGGCTACCTGACTGAGGGACGGTACCTCGTTTTCGAGAAGTCAGGGTATGCGCTCACCAATACTGGAAACACAACCAGGTTAAGCAGCAGCGCAGCGCGTTCGGACCATAGTGACAAGAAACAAAGATGGGTGATTCATTATTCCAGCGGCGAAGAGAGCCAGATCTTCAAAGTCTCCAGTGCACTGGACGGCAAGTGGCTTGGCCCACACGGAAGTCTGCTGCCAGCTGGTCGCCGGGGCGATGCTGCAGAAGTGAAGATTACCTTCCTGGGCAATGGTCACGGATATGGTCTGCAGTATGTCAACTCGACTGTTATCTCACTGGACAGTCAAGGAGGGCTTCAGATGAACACTACCAAACACTCCCGAGATGGCTACAAGGTGTGGAGTGTCACCTACCACTAGGAGATGGCTACAGACTCGAGACCAGGCGGAAGGTTAAGAATTATCCATGGCTGGGATTAGATTTCTGCTAGAGTAGCTGGTCTACTACCCCTGCATTATTTGCATAGCGACATTATAGACGATATAGACGTGCTGACACAAATACAAGATGCTTACATGTAACTATACTCATCATTGGACGGATTAACACTAGCTCAAGATGACCACTTATAGTAGCGCGTAGCTTCTCCCGAATCCGACATGGATTTGAGTCACAGACATCCCCGCAACGACAACAGATCGCAGTACAGTTAGTGCATTCATGAATATCTCCACATTGAGTAAGAAAGATATATTCACTTATTGAGCAAATACTAACTAATTTGCTACAAAGACAAACCCTCCCAAATCGCGTCACAAGAACAAAAGATCCAATAAATCGAAGGAGAGGACAGACCAGACACAGAATGTCTACCAGTATCCGACAAGCAACGCCCGACGATCAACCCATCATCGAGGCAATTATACAAGAAGCCTTTTCTATCTACATCGCTCGCATTGGAAGGAAGCCCCAGCCGATGCTAGACGACTACACTGCACTGATCAAAGACGGAGTCGTCTACGTGATCGAGCGAGACGGTGAAATAAAGGGCACCGTCATGCTTGTCCCCCAGGAGGGTTCCATGATAGTGGATAATTTAGCCGTAGCTGAGTCTGCACGGGGTACTGGGTTAGGTCGCAAGCTTTTGGAGTTCGCTGATGAATCGGCTCAGTTGGCAGGCTATCACACCCTTCAGCTGCATACGAATGAAACGATGGTTGAGAATATAGCCATATATACACGGATGGGCTATGCGGAGACACATCGTGCGGATAATAGGGGGTGGAAGCGAGTTTACATGGCGAAGAATTTAGATTGATGATTATAGTATCTGTTAGTAAAAGAATATATGTCGAAGTATAAATGGTGAGGCATATGTCGTCGCCCACTGTAATCTTGAGTTTCTCGCGTTGAAAATACGATCAGATTTGACCATAGTATCATAGTGAGAATGAAAGTTGACCCAACCATAGTGAACAATATGAAGTGGGAGATATCATTGGACCAAGATGACGAGATCGCGCTGGAATCAGGCCGGCCTGCAGTAATGCCTGAAAAGACGGGCAGCCAGGAATACATTCCGGAGATGTGGCTTATTTCCCCCTCCTTGCCAACCCCTCTTTCTTCTCTTCATCCTTTCTCTCACTTTCCCACCGAGACAATAAGAGTGAACGAAACCATGACAAGTGAAGCAAAGAATGCCCGTTGCGACTGCGCTTTCAAGTATGAAACTCATAGAGTGACCCTGTGCGACAAAATCTCATCCCGGCCCAATAACGGTGACAACAATTGAGGATTATCGATGGAGACACCACCATGTGGGCCTCTACCGTTGACCGTTATGTATGGAGTAAAGCAAACAAATGCTTCTTCCTGTGTCAAGATGGACTATCTATCTTCTAATCTAAGTGGCACACTCAAGGCCTTTTTCTCCCCAAACGCGACTCAATGCAGTGTGCCTGATCTACACCCAGATTGATGGAACGATGCCAGTCTCTTCTACCGAGTATAAGCACGGGCGTCTACGTATGATGTTCACGTTCATCATCCCGAGGTTGCGGTCAAGTTGCTTGCTTGCTTATCTCTCCCCGGTGTGCGAGTGAATGACAACAACGTTTCGGTACCCGGTCGCGACCCATACTTTGGTCCAAACAATGCCCTGGGATTGGTCCTAGTCGAGTAAGACCAGGAGGTGGGCAAACAGCAGGTGTCGTGTGCCACCAAACTAGCTACAATATTCACCGTCCACATACGAGAGGTGTCCCCTTAGCAGCCTGCGTCTGTGGCGTTTCGAGGTGAGCATGGCTGAGGCAACATGGTAACTACCTTTTCGTTGAACGATTGAATCATAGCAGCAGACCCTGGAATATTGTGGGTTTGACGGGTGGAAACTGCCAAGTCACCTGAGACACACGTTGATTCCCCGTTCCTCGATGCTCCATCATTTTCCACCTTCGCGGCTCAACCTCTACGATTGTTCTTTTTTCTTCGACAAGCCACACCACACCGTCCTTCGCCACTCAGCCATCTGTCGTCAATTTTCGTCCGCCTTGGCCGTCACCACGTTTGTTGTCCATTCCAGGTGTGATCTGGATTTGTTCGGCTTCCTTTTTCTTGCGAATTTCTCAAGCTTTGCTTCTTAAAAAGAAAGTCACGAACGGGATCGGATTCCGACCGTATTTTCCTCTTGCTGGACCGCTACTTATCTCTGTCCCCACTTGGTCGCATTTTTCCTCCCCTGTGTGCCCCAAATCCATTATCCCCTCCAGTTCCGTTCGCAGTGTCAACTCCATCAATTCATCCACTATTCAGTTATCCTCAAAGATCACCTTGGGCCGTCCCTGAGCGTTCCAACTCCTGTGACCCGTTCTTCTCCCAGTGTACACGCACGGACCTGGCATATAGTACGGAGGATCCCCAGCTCCAAATTCTCCGCCATTTCCCAGGTGCCGATTACGCCACGTCCAGTCGCAAAGTGATCTGCTTCCCGCGCTTACGGCCTTGGATGGGTTACCAGGTCACTCTATTTTCCAGTTCAACGTACTCTTCGCCATTGTCTGGACATGCCCTCAGTCACCGACCAGACCGGTCTTTCTGGTCTTGATTTTGATGGTAGGTTCCTTTCTTGGTTAACTTCCCGTCAACCCATTCCCCCTTTCCTTGGGCTCCCACAACCCCGTAGTCGTAGGTTCTCCGAGGCTCTGCTTCCGGGCCAAATGATCTCATAGCCCACTGCGACTGCTGGTATTCAATCAACCGTCCTAAACCCCTCCCTTTTTCGGTCTTTTAACCTTCCCTGTCTGGACTACCCCCCTAAGTGTTGATGGATTCTGACCTGTCATCTAAAGGACCACAACCTATTCTGGGGACTGGTTTGACCGTCTCCCCCCAGAGACATCACCACACAAATGGACACGAACCTTCTGCAATTGGGTCAGAAGGGAATGCCTTCAGACACCGTGTGCCCGCACCCAAGAAATCGGCAGCCAGGTTGCCTACTCACCAGCCGGCTTCTCTAAGTAGTCAAACATCCAGCGTTATTACTGATCCCGCGCATCGCCTCGAAAAAGATGGCATGTCGAAAAATGGCGAGGAAGACCCGCAGAATAGCCTTTTCGCACAAGTCTACGATTGGCTTCAGCGCGAAAAATCCAAACGGAGGTCTCACAAGGCTACAGATTTAGCCATGGATGGTGTCGCCAGTGATGGTGACGATGACGATGATGACGGTGCCAGCGTCCTCGTGGAAAGACCTCTATCTTCTGGTGCCGACGCCGCAATGGCCCTCGACAAGCTGGAGAAGATTCTCATTCAGTACGCCGCTTCACGGCAAGGAACAGACTCTGTGCACCTTGCTCGACGATCCGGTCGTCGGCGTCAATACTCCAAAGGGTTGCGGAGGGGTTCTGCGTCCGAATCCGACTTTTCGGACCACGAGGCAGCCGCCCCTAGCGTGGATGCAGTGCTGGATAACTCAAAAACCCTCGCTTATAGCGGCGGTGGTGGTACAGAAGATGACGACAATGAGAACAGTGTCAATGCGAGACGTGCGAAGGATAAAGAAGCCTGGACGCTGTTCAAGAGTGAAATCCTTCGGCTCACTCATACCATGCAGCTGAAAGGATGGCGAAAGCTTCCCATGGAACTTGCAACTGATATGGGAGTCGTACGACTCAGTGGAGCCTTAACCAATGCCGTATATGTAGTTACACCGCCACAGAATATTCCTGTGCCCAAGGCGGAAGATGGTTCATACTCATTGGTACCCAGGAAACCCCCACCGTAAGTTTCTTACCTAGACCACATACATAACCCAGAAGCTAACTTTCTGTAGGAAGCTACTGCTGCGTATCTATGGGCCACAAGTAGATCACTTGATTGACCGAGACAACGAGCTTCAGATCCTCCGCCGTCTAGGCCGAAAGAATATTGGCCCGAAGGTGTTGGGTATATTCAACAACGGGAGGTTTGAAGAGTACTTCGAAGCTCGCCCACTCACACCCAAGGAGCTCCGCGATCCCCCGACTATGAAACAAATTGCGAAGCGGATGAGGGAGCTGCATGATGGCATTGATCTCCTTGTAGATGAGAGGGAAGGGGGGCCCATGGTCTTCAAGAACTGGGATAAGTGGGTAGACCGCTGCGAGCAAGTAATCAATTGGTTAGACAAGGAGATCCGATCTGAGCACAACAAGAGCAAAGCAGCATCCGAAGCTTGGCGCCGGCGAGGCTTTGTCTGCGGTGTTCCCTGGCCCTCCTTCAGAAAGGCAGTTGAAGGATATCGTAAGTGGCTTTTGTCCAGCTGTGGAGGCATGGACGGAATAAAGCGACAGTTGGTGTTTGCGCACAACGATGTAGGTCCTTAATTCCCAATACTCAGGGACTGCGCTAATGATTTAGACTCAATATGGCAATCTGCTTCGGATGGAGCCCAGCCACGAATCACCGCTTCTTCGGCCTGAGAATGTGCATAAGCAGCTAGTCGTTATTGACTTCGAGTATGCATCAGCCAACACTCCAGGAATCGAGTTTGCCAACCATTTCGTAAGTCAAGTGCTTTTCAATGATTGAAAGTCTCACACTGACCCAATAGACTGAATGGTGTTACAACTATCATGATGCGGAGCGGCCGTGGGCATGCGACACCAGCCGCTATCCGAACCCAGAACAGCAGCATCAGTTCATTGAAGCGTATCTGAGCCATCGACCCGGGCTGCGCGAGCAAGCTTCCCCTTCCATCACCCCTCTGATGCGAGGCCTCTCTACCAACACTTCATCACTAGCTCCATTGAGCCTGGATGACGGTCCGGATGTGGACGTGTCTTCTCGGTTCGATATCGAGAAAGCGCACGAGGACAGCACCAGCGCTAAGATCCAGTTTTACGCGCGACAAACCAGGCTGTGGCGAGTACTCAACTCTGCGCAGTGGGTAGCCTGGGGAATCGTGCAGGCCAAGGTGCCTGGCATGGAGGAGGGCATCGCAGCAGATGAAGCCGCAGCTAAAGCCAAAAACGGCCATCATGGTACCAATGGCAACGGGGTGCATTCAGACGTGACAGCTGAAGCGAACCACTCCACCGGAACTCCGCCAATCGATGCTGATGTGGACGAAGCTGAAGAGTTCGACTACCTTGCCTATGCGCAGGACCGTGCAATGTTCTTCTGGTCCGATTTGCTGGCGCTGAAAATCATCCGGGAGGATGAGCTGCCCGAATCTCTGGTACAAGTGATCAAATCTCGAATGATCGACTACTAAGCCTATATTAATAATGTCTTGCCTCTTACGATTATGAGTCGGATGACATGAATGACGAAGCGATTCTTCAACAGACATCGGCCTTGCCACTGTACATAGATATGTCATAGTTATGAATCTCAACGGATTTACTAGGTAGAACCTTCATCTCCGGAGCTATGTAGACAGCATACTAAGGATGGTAGGCATGATTTTACCTCCTCATCAACTTCCTCTGCGTCTCCCCCTTCGCCTTCTCCACCCACTCCTCATACTTCCCCTCCCCCTGCTTCTCCTTCATCCCCACCACCCCCTTCAACACCTCCCCAATGAACCCCACGAAATTCGACCGTCTCAACGTATTCTCCCAAGCCCACGCCCTCCTCTTCCTCTCCTCCCTCTCCAACGCCTCCACATCCCCAATCTCCTTCGCCGTCACCCTCAAATCCCTCACCACAGCCATCAGATTAAACCTCGTCTCCCCCTCCGGATACCGCGCAATCCTCTGCCTCAACACCTCAATCACCTTCTCCGGGAACTCCTCCGCCGTACACCCCCCATGCGAAATCGGATGCGGCTGCAACCCATCCAACTCATACAACTTCCCATCAACAGGCGTGTACGCAATGAAATGGTATACATCCCCTTCCTCGTCCTGGTTATTCCGCACGGTCTCGTCGACGAATGGCGAGGCGCGCGCGAACGCGTTGTGTGCGCTCCGGATCAGTTCCGAGTTGGAGAGCGCTTCGCCGCGTAGGTCTGGTGGGAATCCCGCTGTGAAGTCCTTGAAGGAGTGGAGTTCCGGGCCGATGTTGATGGGGTAGGGGTTGCTGGAGGAGGAGGATGAGGAGGAGGAGTCGTTGTTCAGGATCACCGAGAGGATGGCTTGTGTGCCGCAGGCGTTTTGGATCGTTTGGTTCGCGAAGAAGAGGTTAGGGGATGGGTCGGTGTCGTAGGTGCCGGAGGGAGGTGAGGTCGTGGAGGATGTAGAGGTCGATGGTTGTTGCGTTTCGCGGGTCCATTTGAAGAGGAAGATTACGCCGTAGACGGGGCTGGGTTTGGGTGAGAGGTAGGTGTTAGTGGGTGTGGTGGATGAGATGAGGTGTTGGTGGCAGGTGGTATGGGGTTTACCTTAGTGAGCGGATTGTGTCTGCGTCTAGAGAAATCAGTTCTTCGAATTGGACGTCCTTGACGCCGAGGTTCTCGATGAGGGAGGTGAACACGCCCTGATTGATGGTTTGCTTGTTAGTTTGATGCTTTGGATGGGTTTGGTTTCTATGTATTGGTTGCGTACCTCGTCGGACTCGATTGTACTCCAGCCTCCGCCGTCGGCCATGGTGTGTGTTACGGGATGGGGTGCGCTGCGCAAGAAGGGTTATATATAGTATATAGTGCAGCAGGGAGAAATATAGCGACGGGGTATGATGTCTATGCTGGACTGGTGGGCAGGATGTGATGTGATGTGATGGTGGATACCTTGGAGCTCTTGTTTGGTGATGATGCAAACAGTACACATGTGCAAACATCCTCGGTCAAATCTGGACAACAGCCTTGCATGTTGTAGCCTTAATAGTCAGGTGTCATTTACGTGACGAGTCCACTTCTATTAGTAGAGACGAATCGTCGATCTCATGCTCACCTGTCAACCATAACCCTTCGCAGCTGGAAACCACGATGGGCTGTTCATAAAAGCCAAGAAATTCTATGGATCAGGCCTCCAAGGGTCTACTCAGCCTTGTCCACATTGCAGATCGATTTACCCACGCTTATCCACCTTCACCAATCGACTCATGAACAGCGCAGCAGACTTCGTATATCTCCGTCTACCATTGACTTCCATGGGTGGACAATGTAGCTGTTTTTAGCTTAGGCGTCAGGCATCTGGAACATGTCTATTTTGGACTCACTCCGTTGGCTAACTGACTGGACGCCTTACGGGCCTAAATGTCGATCATCTAGTAAGCATGTCTTCAGTTACAGCCACTATGGAGGAGTCAGAAGACAATATATAATCTGCAGAAATGCCCCCAGCATTACCACACAGACTCACAAGCAATCAATAAACGGAGAATTCACAAGTCTACTTCCACTCATCTTCAGACTCCACACCTTCATCTCCAAACCAAAGTATATCATCACCATGCAGCTCCTCTCCATCCTCCCCATCGCAGCCTTGGCTGGTACTTCCCTCGCAGTACACTGGAACGTGACCCTCTACACCGACACCGAGTGCACCGAATACAAGTGGTCATACGCGGGAAACCAGAGTTACGGGTGCTACTCGCTTGAAACATACAACCCAACCATTCAGTCTATCAGGGCTGAGATTCCCGAGGATTGGGTTTTCGATGGAGCGAGCGGCGGTGCTTGCAATGACTTTCACACTTTCGGGGGTTCGGGATGCTGGGCTCAGGGTCAGGGATTCAAGTCTTTCCAAGTATACCCGCAGGCAAGCTGAGGTGATGGTGAGTGTATGTTGGTCTACTTGGTGGTGTACATCGCGCTGATTATTGCTTCTCCAGTTACCCATCGTTGGTGGAATAAAACTAACTCTTTGTTCATGGTATACATGCTACTTATATGATTTATGCTTCAATTGTATCTAGCTTTCTTGCCATGCGCTCAGCACTAGGTCTAAATTAGTCATGAGCATTTGGTTTTCTATAACATAACCACGAGACGAGGTTTCTGTTGTACATAGACCAGCTACAATGGGGTCTTTCGCTCGTAGTTTTTCTGGAACGCAATGGTGTATCGGAAAATTCTTCAAATAGTCTACATTATGCTCGGTTTGATTTGGGCTGTAGTTATTCAAGACTGAAAGCATTTAAATCTATGCATCAATTGCTGATCGAAATCAGTTAACACATTTCTCATTCTACAGTTTTTACGGAAAACTTCTCTAGAGTTCCCAACAACGAAATCCATTAATATATTGTCGCCTTGGTATCATTGAACCACCTTCATTTACCCATACCAGTATATCCGAGTTTCATAATACTCATGCCAACTTGACAGACCTTGACTGCGAACCTACCTTCGAAAGTAGCCATCCACCGTTCTGCAGCTTCTGAAACACCCCGTCAGGGTCATACTTCGCAGCAATGCTCTTGAGCCTTGCTACATTCTCAGCACCATAGCTGGATAGTGGATCTTGATCGCGAGACGCATAGTTGGAATACCGGTACGGAAGATACGCGTCAGCCTGCTTTGCTGTCGCTTCGGCAACATCCACTATCTTGCGGACTGCTTCTCGGACGCGATCCTCGTCTTTCGCATGTTTCCAGTCGGCCATTGACAAGAACCCTATCTTGTTAGTTTCGCAAGCATATAATAAGAAGAGCAACATACACTGCTGGCCTACTGCTTCTAATCCAAGGGGCGTTCCGCCATTCTTCTGACTCTGTTTCATAGCCAAGGAAGACATGGGTTGGAATACGTTGGTCAGGACAAGGCCTTCAACGTCACTCAAGGCCTCCTGTTGTTCTCGGCGGACTTTCTCTGTTGCTTCGTACAGCTCTAAACACGGCCGACTGGACATGGTTCGGAATTCATGACTAAGGGTCTGTTAGCCATCCACGAACTTTCAAGTATCGTTATAACCTACTGCAAAACCTCAGGTGAGATGACTGAGGCAACCGCCTGGATGAGCTCATAGATCGAGCGAGTGCCAGGAGGCACAAAGTTCATCAAGAAGGGGACATCATAGAATGACTGGAATGCAGCAGGCTTCTCGACAGGGGCACAGTAGAAGAATACTAGAAGGATTGCCTGGCTGGTAGCATGCCAGACGAGAGATGCCTTGTTGTCGACTTCAATTGCTTCATGGTACTTCATGAGACCCTTAGCGAGCTCGGGGTAAGCCGTTGGAGGGTATACACGAGCTTCAGCCCACGACTCGGTAGGCACTGTCACTAGGTCCATTTTGGTTACGATTCCTTCGGCTTTTATTAGTAACAAAATCATCATTCCTCTGAGAAGAGTGCTTACCGAAGTTAGGACCGCCTCCCTTGAGGGCCCAGAATAAGTCTGCATTTTCTTGCGCATTGGCGTTTACAATGCTTGAGTCTGCGAGGACAACCTGTGATCTAATTAGCAAGGATTTGAAAGAGCTGCAGTACATGCGTGATTACCTCATAATTAGATACGCCCATTGCGCCCACTCCATACTGACTATTCTGGAAAGAGATCCCTCCTCCCAGAAGAAGACCAGGAACACCGACAGTCGGAATCCGACCTCCTGCCACTGCAAGACCATAAGGATCGAGAGCCTTATAGACGTCAAGCCACCTCAGTCCAAGTCCTACATCAGCGGTAGACTTGTCTTCCGACAGCTTGACATGGTCGAATTTGCTAAGGGAGATGACTACTCCGCCATTATTGCTGGTGAACCCGGGGTTCTGTAGGTGACCACCACCGCGGACAGAGAAGTTAATGTTGAAGAAACGACAGAGAGCAAGAGCAGTTGCAACTTCTTGTGCTGACGTTGCTGTGACCACAACTAAAGGTTGGAGCCAGCAATTGATTGACCTGTGTAACAGAATCAGTTTGATTGCAAATGTGCTTCGAGGATGTGCAATTGTCATACCAGGGTACTTGACGTTGGGTATCATACCCATCCGATTCCCGGAAGATGGCATTTTCGCCGAAAAACAAAGGGAAAACTTGGGCAAGGTAGGATGCCCGTACGGGGTCCTTCTCATCATCCGAAAGTGCTGCATACTTGGACAGTAGTTCCTCGATTGTTGGGGTTGTGGAAGCGTCAACGTTCGCCCCCTGAACGATCGCTGTAATGATTGCTGCACAGCTCATTGTGGCTTGTGTGTGAGGCTGCAATGACAGGGTTTCTTACCAGATACCCCGGTCAATAAAGAAAAAGAAATGAGGATATTCAAGAAAAGGAGAAACTACGGACGGTATCCACCGTGCTCATTAAATAGGACTCATTGGCAACGGACATGGAGCCGGCACGCGGGACAAAGCCCAGGATTTGCGGGGCTAGAACAGCCCTAGTCTGATAGTCACACACGCTATCCTACGCCAACTTTTTTCTTGCCTTTCGCGTAGTCCATTATAGTACAGGGATTTGATTCCTTCTTTATCAGGGATTTCAAGTTAATCCTGGCTAAATGCCCAGGACTTTATCCTCGACATGCTCCCCCCTCTGGACTCGATATTCTGACTATGCCACACAATCAATGACCGGTGTGGGACATTAGATTAATTGCAGGATGGTCTGGACGGTCATACCACGAGATGGTGGTCTACCTACGATGACTACTACTGTCCGCATCATAGTCCTTGTCCTTGCTATCCCAACTACCCTAGTTTGCGGTCTCCGGGTACGTACCTGACGCTTGATATGGTTTAAAAGCACAACTCATGCAATGACATGTCCCATAGCTCTACCTACGAAAAACTGTTCTAAACTCATGGGGACTGGATGACTGGATGGTAATGGTCGCTCTTGTTAGTCTTCCCAAATGCTCGAGCGGCGTGAGACAAATTACTGAGCCACAACAGATCATGGTGAATGGCTTCTCGGCGCTTGCATATACCATAACCTACTATGGTCTCGGAAAAAAGACCAAGGATGTTCCAGATGCGGACCTGCTGGTTTGGTGGAAGGTGCGTTAAGCTAACACATCCTCTAGATTGGATAGCGGCTGATGTCACCGGCAATATTTAGATCTACTATGCTGCGCTCTGCAGCTATTTGCTTGTTGCTGCATCGGTCAAGACAAGTTTAACTGTCTTTATAATGCGGCTTTTCCCCACCCGCAGCATTAGCATCGCTGGCAAATGCATCTTGGGATTCCTAGCGGTCTTCACACTCGCAGGGGCTTTGGCTCTCGTATTCCAATGTCGACCCGTTCGCGCTGGATTTGACAAAACCATCCTCGATGCTAAATGCTACAGTGTCGACACTTCCTTTGCCATTCTCATGGCGCAAGGCGTTATCATGTTTGTGATAGATCTGACCATCCTCGCACTTCCAATCCGTCGCGTGTGGCAGCTTCAGATGCCTCTTGGACGAAGGGTCTTGGTACTTGGACTATTTTTTCTTGGTATGCGACAAGCCACATCTGGACCAAATAGTAACTGACTGTTATGTCCGCTCAGGTTTCACGGCGTGCATCGCGGCACTGGTTCGCTTCAGCACTTTGACCTATGCCAGGGACGAAACAGACTACACCTGTAAGTATAATGGAATCAGTGGTTTGATGAAGATATCCAGATCGCTTACAAATATTTACCAATAACAGACACGGCCGCTAATTCACTCATCTGGATGGAACTTGAGTTCAATCTTGGTCTCATGTCCGGCTCCCTTTCGTCCCTGCGCAAACTCTTTAAGCTTCGATCGCCTTTCGGGTCGCGACAAACCTCTTCTTTCACGGGAAGCCGCTCGACCAACGTCGAATTAGGGAGATATAAAGGCTGGGGTAGGGGTATAAGCAAGCAAACGGAAATCAACAGGGTTTTTGAGCTCGTAGACAGCAGTCAGGAGCACATCGCCCCGATTTACGGCCAGGGTGAATTATGCACCACCACCAATGCATTCTCGAATGGGAAGATTAGCCGTTAGACTTCATTTTCGCTCAGGATACAGATATGTAACTCTGTACTATCATCAATCTCAAATGCAATCACCTTCGCTCACCCATGCAGCAGCGGTAGAAATGCACACGAACCGTTGCTGCTAAGGGGGAGGGGCCACTGTCAAATAAGCACAGCTCCACTAATGCCACCGGCACTGACGCTAAATCGACCGGCCGTTAGACGGCGCACGCCGCAGCAGACGGCGCGGTTTTATCATTCCCGCTGATTAGTCTCGACCTGCTTTCACTGTAAATAGTTAGCCAATTATCTAGCTAAGTATTTGAGGAGTTAACCTTATCAGGGAGCGAGAAGGAGCAACAATGAACATCCGGGTTCCGAGCCGTTTTTCCAACGATCCGTCGACCAACACCGATGCCGACGCCCATCGCCAATTGTCGTGAAAATTTTCCGGTTTTGTCCCAGTGTCCTTTGAGTCTAATATGCTCTGCGAAATGTTTGCTGGAGACTGGCTAATGATGCTAGTTGAACTTAGTATAGTTCGCTTATTTACTTATGTAGGCTTCGTTACCGATGCTGGCTAAGGGGCTCACAGCGTGCATTGTTCATAACGGGTAGTGCAGTGAAAAGAGAGCACAGGCCAATTGGTGGACATAGTCTGTCTATAGGTAGGTATATAGGTGATGAGACCGACCTGCAGATTTGGTGGAAGCCCACTAAATGCCTGTAACCTGTAACCTCTAATCATCTCCTGGAGGGCTCTACATAGCTCGTGAAGATCCAACAAACCTGAAAAGCCAATTGACGCGCCACGTGATCACATGCGCCGGCTGTGCTTGGATCCCTTGATGATCTTCCTGTATGACAAGCATAATATCATGTCTATCTTGGAACCCTTCAAGTAAGAAAAAAATAAAGAAAAAACCTGTGTAATGAATACTATAAGAACATCCATTCCTCGTTTGCCTGCATTTCTCCGCAAGAAGCCATTTCCCGTGCCTTCTCCTGGGCCACCTTTACCGCCCGGTATCTTCGTCGATGAAGAGACATCGCCAGCATACAATTCCAAGCATTTCTACCCAGCGAAGCCTGGAGAGGTTCTCGCGGATCGCTATCAAGCTTTGGTAAAGGTCGGCTGGGGGGTCTTCTCAACAATATGGCTTGCGCGTGATTTGGAAGGGTAATCGATGACCCCTATCAATTCGCAGATCTCAGTATCTAACGAGTCTACAGACGTGTAGAAGAGCCAGAGAGCGTAGTGGCACTAAGAATAGCCAACAATGATGCAACCTTCGTTGGTCATGAGCGTGAAGTTGATGAGCACATTTCCACCGCAGATCCGTCACATCGGGGTCGTTCGCTTATGCGGACTTTACTGGACTCTTTCGAGGTTAAGGGTGCAGAAGGTTCTCATTCGTGTCTTGTGTATCCTCCTATGAGGGAGACGTTGTCAATGTATCAGCAGCGCTTTGACAATGGAAAGATGCCGTTGCCTCTTGTCAAGACATATGTGCGTGCTCTTCTTACGGGGCTTGATTACCTTCATAAGGATTGCAGGACAGTCCATACAGGTAAGACTATCTCACTCAAGTTTTGACTAGATGATGCTGAAGACTGCTGACTTTCTAGACCTGAAGCTTGATAACATCATGCTCTCATTCGAAGACCCAACAGTGCTTGCTGAGTTTATGGAGACACAGCTTGAAAAACCAATGGCTTTCAAAGTTGATCCGACAGGACGACCAGTGTATCAGTCTCGTAATGACTTCGGACCTCTCAAAAGTCTCAGGAGTATACCACAACTTGTTGACTTTGGGTTGGCAACTAGACTCGAGGAAGATGACGACTGGGGTGTCTGGCCTATACAGCCAGACCACTATCGGGCGCCAGAGGTAATATTGGGTAATGGATGGCAAATGTCTGCGGATATCTGGAACCTTGGGGTCTTGGTATGTCTAGTTGCTCTCCAATGTTGTTGCATTCGCTGATAATAGTTTAGTTATGGGACTTGATCGAAGGCAAAGAGCTATTCCAGCACATTCATGACAAACAAGGTCGTTACGATGCTAAACTACACCTAGCTGAGATGATAGCTCTTCTCGGTCCACCTCCCCCAGAGATTTTGCAAAGGTACCAATACATGAGAGAGTACTCATGGCAGGAACCTGTCAGGCGAGAAGATGGTAGGGTATGCGTGACCGCGGAGGGGTACTTTGATGGGCCGTTCTTTGACGACAATGGTAATGCTGAGTGGAATATCTCGCTGAATGGTACCTAGACTGACCAGGATATCTTAGGTCGCTTTCTATACGAAGACCTGATCCCTGACCGGAGATTAGACGACACAGTTCACTTTCTTGAGATTGAGGAGAGGGAAGCATTTCTGGATCTCGTCAAAGGAATGCTTACTTGGCACCCATATAAGAGAAAAACGGCAGGCGAATTGGCTGAGCATAGTTTTTTCTACATCAGCAACTGAACGCCTGAAGTATGCGAGTTGTTTGGGGGTTTTATACCTCGGGAATGAGATCCGTCCCAGTTCGACGGTAGCATTAGATAGCCAGTTCAAGCGCTAACACGATGTTCCTTTTTTGTTGAATCTACTGTTAGTTTGCTTTAAATGGCAAACTAATGAGTGAGGTGAGATTATCCTCTCGCATGGCTAAGCGTCAGCATAATTGAAACGTAGCATACTTCACTTGTTCACGAGTCAATAATTTCCATACCCTATATATGTTACCGTCACAACGACACTATCTCAACACCTTACAAACATACAGTCTTTCATGATGTCGAAGTCAAGTCCTGATTAGATAGATAGCTCACGTGCTACATGTTGTGCACATTCAGGCAACATTTTAAGGACATTACTCCACATAGAATCTTGTAGCCCTTCTTCCTTAGCCAGTGTTGCCGCGGTCGATGACCTGCATGAAAATGTTATCATGTCAGCCAATATTTACTGACTAGCTTGGAGACATACGGCCTGAACTTTCCATCTGCGAAGAAGCAGCCATGCACTTCTGCATCCATGTCCTCGATCGCCGTGAGATACTGCCATGCACCCTGATTAGGGGTGCGGCAAACTAGCCTCTCCAAATAATCGGCGATAGTCTTACCACTAAACGAACGGAAAAGTCCGCTGCGGCAAAATCCGGGTGTGGCGGACGCTGTGAGTACACGTGTCGGATCTATCCTGCGTGCCAGCTCCTGTATCCACAGGATGACCAGTAACTTACTGATGTGGTATCTTGCATAACAGGGATATGTATCTGGCTGGTTGAGCATTTCCATCAAGGCGGTGAATAACTTTTGCTGAGGATTTGCCCAAGCATGCGCCTCGGATGAGATGATAAATAGACGACCTTGCGTTGTTTGTCGCAGTAACAGCGGCATGGCGAGCAGTGCTGTAGCGCAGGTACTTAGGAAATTGACCTATATCTCATGACGTCGAGTGAGCGACTGTGGTAGTAATAAAGTGGTAGATTGTCTCGAATATCACTCATAGAAGATAGGTCTCTCCTCCTCATCTGTAGTGTCTGTTCCATTCCTGTGTCTTCGCATATGGCAAAGTCAGTTTGGTAGATGCCTGCGTTCAGGATCACGAAGTCTAGAGATGGGTATTCTTGCAAGCGACTATTGAAAGCCGTGATAGAATCTTCGGAACTCATTTCCAACTCCAAGACGTCCACTTTGGGTGTAATATGGAGAGGCTTTGTTTCTTCAAGGATTTCTTCTCTCAGAGCCTCGCCCTTTTCACTATTTCTTGCTGTCACGATAACATGGGCACCGGCACGAGCAAATGCCTTTGTGCACTCCAACCCACACCCACTGGTTCCGCCAGTAATAAGGACTCTCTTATTGGCGAAGTTCGAGAGGTCTTTTTCTCTTACTGACCCTGATCTTGAAAAAAAGAGACGATATAGAACAGCAAATGGGCCATACGGATCAAAAGTAAGTGTATAGGGATTTGAAAAGCTGAAATCCAGCATATGTAGCGAGGAAACTGCCATGGTCGATGGCCAAACACGTCATACACTTGGTGTGTAGGGGTTTGATAATGGTGCTTGTGCTTGTGCCAGTGCCGATGCCCTGTGGATTAAGTACGTTGTTGCCGGCTTCTTCATGTAAGCACAAATGTATTTCAGCTGATCTACTCTTCAACTTTCAAGTGATGTGGATCAAGGCGAGATGGATTCCAGGTTGTTCTATGATCGCTGATCACCGATCTTACTGTACGTTATGGCTATTATGACGTAGGCTGGTAACCATTGCTCCATAGCACCTTGCATAAGGTGTCCTGTACGTTGCCTACCAAGTCGCCTTACTATTTCAGCTAGTTGCCGCTGCAAGGTATGAACCCAAGACCACTCACATTTGATGAAAACTTTACCGTGAAGGATGGGGTGTAAATTCTTTCAGGTGTTTTGTTTCCCCTTAGAAAGTGATGTTGGTTATTTAAAAATGTCCATGTGGCAGTAGCATTTGTGATCACGACATGAATGGGAGGTATGACGAGAAGCAAGAAAGAGGAAGAGGCAAACAAGGAAGACACCCGCTATATATGCAGGAGTCCACCGCCTCGGTATCAGTAACTTACAATACTTCTTCATTCAAGTAGAAATTTGCTGGGGCTTAGATCTATCATAGTCCAGTTGTCATAATAGTATCGATGGACAGTGTATTATCATCTAATGGTAATGAGGTCGCGGGTTTGCATGTCGGGTTGGATTAGAGAATGCGAACGTCTTGTTAAAATAGAGCTTTTGGCGATTAACAGTGGAATGGAGGAGGACGGCTTCATGTAGTCCACATGCTAGACTGTGTCGGCGATTGAGACAACCTTAATAATTGAGAATACTATACTTTTATGTGAAGTTAATGATCTGAGGGTCTATATCCTACACTCTCTGCCCACAAAAGCCCACCCAATACATCTAGGACTTCCCTTCTAGGTCCGTGCCCCAGCCGAATCATGTCCACGCGAGTCAGTTTGATCCATCTCCAAATCAAAGCTCAAATTCGTGAATCCTTCCTGTCTCCGCTGCACACTGCGAAGATTGCAAGTGCTGGACATCCTATCAAGCCTTCCGCCAACATCACTCCGCCATCCGGACGCATGGAACCTCAAGACTTGTCGGAACGACGGTACACAAGCTGTGACGATGACTAGACTTGCCTCGACATTACTATCGAACCAACAACCATGTTAGCAACAAACACTCAAGCGTGAGAATTAGAGAGGGATAAAAGATCACATACATCCAAAGAGCCACCGCACCCAACAAATATGTCTGGTCTTCCTGCGTCAACATCGGCACCGTAGCCGCCAGTCGCAATGTGCTCGTAACTAGTGACCTGAACACAACCATAAGCAATTAGCCATGACTCACGAACCACAATCTAAACATGTCCAAAGAGAAAGATATAACGTACAATCCTCCCAACCCAAACATAAGAATCAGCCCAATCCTCTTCTTCGAGGTCATTTACAACTTCACAACAATAGGCAGCGGCATGACCAGCAATACCAAATCAATAAACATACTTGCCACCACGCCCGCCATGAAGATTGGGGCTTTACTCCAACAGTGTCCATCTATGTCAGGGTACCAGGCTTTATGTACCGGCTCGCAAGTAAACAGAAATAAACACTCGAGGACAATCATGTAGGCGATGACAAAGGCGGTCGTGCCCCATAGGGTTATGCGCCATTTCTGTTGCATATCGGAGAGCCGGTAGTAGAGAATAATGAGGGAAATTTTGGATAAACCGAGGGCGGGAATATACATTATTGCGCCGAGGAGGAGGACCTAGTTGTTTTTGAGACGTTATTAGGTGGTGGATGGGGTAGATGGTAGGATCGGGGTTGGGGTGTGTACTCGGATGGTTCGGTTGTATACGGCAGGGGTGAGGTCCCATTCGTGGACGCCTAGGCCGGCGTTGGTGTAGCCCCCTGTTGTATGGAAGTGTTTGAGTTAGGACTGAGCTGGGCTCGATTGGAATGGAGGTGATGGTGCGTACACAAGAGTAGGGATTGGGTTATTGCTGCGAAGATCTTTGGACTCATCATGATCAGTCATCGTATTGGGGTTAAGAGGGTGATTTACTAACAAATGATAATATAATGACGACTACGTGAATCTCCTGTTAGCAATTCATGTGACTGAAGATCCTCGAGGACATAAATGCATGCATCAATTATTAAAGATACATAGGACACACTCACCATCATCGAGCAGCCACTTCCGCACAATAACCACCCGCGTATATAGTCTCACCAGGAGACCTAACGCACTAATTGTTACACCAACAGTAACCACAACCAGATTGGCAGTATAATAGTGCTTCTCAGGACTGTCTAAGTCCGGCGTCACACCCACAGGTGCAGGGATAACGCCCGTGCCAGTCCCTGTCAAAGCAGCGGTGCTGGTGGCGCTCATAGCAACGGCACACAAGCATTATCCAGCAACAAGAAGAGAAACAAAGTTTTTTTTTACTCTCCTATGATATAGGTCCCAGACATATAAAGCTGATTAAAAGAAGCAGGGGTCAGGTACACCTGTGAACTTTCCTGATCGGAAGGATTCCGTCCGTTCGCAACCTAGAGTCGTCAGGACCGGTAGCTGGAAATAGGTCAGTTAATCAGCCCCTGCTCTAGCTTGATTAAGTCATAATTATGGTGCCCAATGAGAAGTACAGGCTATTTGACTTAGTGTGCGAGCGAAGTGAGCGTCTCAAACTGATCTGCAGGAGGGTTATGGCAGGCTTGACCCGGCAGACGAAAAATTCATTTATTTGTGTTGGGCATGGAAGAACTTCGGCTGCCGAATCTATATTGAACACTATAGGTGCAGAAGGATGGGAAACCTGGTTGGTTTTATTGTTTAGTGTGAAGAAAGCGAAGGGACGAAGGATCTGGTTAGGTGGGTGAGGTTGCTCTAGTCTGATGTCTTAGCTTTTATTGGAACTAGGAGGGGCGATCGCGGCCACATTCCGATACTCCTGATAAAATGTACTGCGCAACCACTTTGCATAAGTGACAGCTGAATAGTGGGGAGAACTGTTTATGCTTCTTGTTTGTTGCGCTATCTGAGGGTTGAACAACTGCCTGAACTCAAAGTTGTAACATCACCACGCCAAACTTCCATCCGCACCCGCCTGTTCACAGTAATATGATAGCTCGTCTCCTCCGATGTGCTGACCCTCGGACTTGCAGTAGTACAAAAGGTCTTGGTCACTTAGTACTGTGCAATCCGGACATTGGTCCCATTGTTGGCTGCCTGTGTTGCGGTTCTTGTATGAAGCGCAGGCCTTCTCCGTTGCTGCCTTGTTGAAGACTTTCTGTACAAGTTTCCGTTCAGTCAACAGAATTCCCATGATAATTTTGGAATGGGATTAACTCACCACGTCCTTACCAGGCGAGTCATAGCAGAGCCCCGTGTAATGGAGGTCTGCTAGCGCACTGCACTATGTTAGTGGCTGAGTTGCATCTCGAAGAATGGGAGCTGATGCGTACCCAGTAGCGAGGACTGTGACAAAGAGAGCTGCAAAATGCTTCATTGTGCTTGTGAAATCTGAAGAAAGAGTGGTGTGTGTTGTTGAAGTCTGGTTCAGGGTGGTCCTTAATATCTTGTCGAAACTGACTGACTACAGCTCAGGAAATCCCGCAATATATGATGCCTGTAGCCAAGTCTCTCAGCACCTTTCAGAGCATCATTCCTCTCCGGTTTTCCTACCACGTCGAAGGAACAGTATTACCGAGTATCTTCCGCCATGATATCGCCACAGTCAAATCATTAATATACATCTCACCGACATACCATCCTTCAAGCAAACCAAGACCAGCAACGAAGATCACAATAACCTCAAGAGAGACATCCTCAGACAACATATAACTCAACTACAACGCTCAATCAACATCTATAATACTATCACATCCCAGAGTACATCACCTGAGCAGCGACTGACCGCAGATCCACATGCATGTCTCATCCTTTGCCAAGTAGTCGATCCGTGAGTTCTTCCTATCTCAACGGGCGGGACGCACATGGCACAACCCCCTGAGCCAGATCAAATGGAGCAGCGGGAGACAACATCATTTATTAAGGTTTTGGGGCGTGAAACGGGCGGGCCCACTTGGGGCCTTGACTGGATAGATAGCGGCTCGATCCGTGGCTGAGATTGACAACCGGTTGTCTTGGTTAGGGCTACGGGCAAGAAGCGGATCGTGTAGTTTACTCAATTCGGTAGATCGTGGCTGCATAATTAGTCTTGTGCGACTTGTGATTGTCGATCTTGTGTTTCTTCGGGAGTTCCTCGGGGACTCTGGGGGATCTGCGTAAAGGTTTCGGACATCGTTGATCGATGTTGTAGGTTGTGATCTTGGCGATGTTTATACTTCTTGGCGGAGCTGGATGATGTAGAAGTAGGCGTGTAGAGAAGGTGATAATAGGCACTTTTATGACATCCGGGGTATATAAGTACATTTTATTCTCGACAAAAGACACGAGACGAGACAGACTCACCAAGTTCCGGCCATTATACATCACACGAAGAACCCGATCAAGCAAGCTCACACCATGAAGCTCCCAGTCCTCGTAACCCTCGTCTCCGCAACCCTTTCCTACGCCGTGCCAATTGCCAATACAACCACCATCTGCGGCCCCGACGAAGCAATCATCCTCCTAAGCAACAATACCACTAAGACCGTCAAAAAAGCCGACCTCAAGTCCCAGATCCCAAACCTCACCTACCTGCCATCCACCAACAATGACAGCACACCACCCCTGCTCATCACCAGCGCCTCCAGCCACAGGAACAACACCACCACCAAGCGCGGAAGCTCCACAAACCTGATAATTCCTCTGGAACCGCAGAGTTTCCTCGGCTGGGACATCGCCATGTCGACCATCACGCACGCCAACCAGGCCCCCGTCACCCTCGCCATTCAATCCGGCCAATCCATCGCAAACAGCATTACGACCGGCGCCTCGGCCGACTTCAGTCTCGTCGAGGACTTTCTCTCCCTCACCACGAGTATCAGCTACCAGGAGACCACGACGAGCACGATCACGGGCACCGTGACGATGACGATTCCCAAGGGTAAATGGGGCGCGATTGTGAGTAATCCGCTAACGCATCGGAGTCGTGGGTATGTGTTCAATGGAGAGCCGGGCAACGGAGGTACATTTGAGTATTATCAGGCGGATAGCTATGAGGATACTAGCTATACATACGGTGAGGGGAAGTTGGAGTGGGTTAAGGGGGTGGTTACGACTTGCTTGGGGGATGGGTATCCGTTGAAGAGGTGTGAAGGGGATGGGGTTTTGGAGTGAGTGTGGCATTCTGTTTGTGGTTGTGAGTATAAATGTGCTTTTAGGTTAGTTTGCTGCTGAGGAATTGGATCTTATGTGTTTCCATCGTTGCTGCCAAGGCATCTTAGAAACTTCCCTAAGGTGTTGTGGCTGGAGGTGCTCACTGTGAAGCTTGGCTGTCTGCCATATGCGGAGAGTGTGATAACATCTGTGTAGGAGTTGTGTTTATAACTGGACAAGATTAAATGCAGTCCATGAGTAGTATACTGAAGCTTTTATCATTAACATATGGTGTTTTGGAGGAGACATCTGCCGGGTCCCCTGTAATCATATATATTCACTGTCTCCGATCTGTGCAGTTTTCTTTTCGATGAATCCCATTGAAAGCGTCTGCTCCCATGCAGCTTTGGCATCATTCTAATGGGAAAACAGCAGTTGAATGGAGGTATAGCGTATAGCCTTGTAAGGTTTGGAATCGGTGGACTTCTGACGTGAATGTCGCAGTACTGTAAGTAAGCCTTGAATACCAAGGCGGTGGCCTCCGTACATATTGACCGCATATCTCCCTTTGTCCGCCCCTTTCTCTCTCCTCCGCACCATCCATCATACTCATTGATAACAAAGCCCCTGTTTGCATAAAAGTACCCATGAAGGATACACCAAAAGAAAAACGCAACCGTTTATTACGGCCACCGCAACTATCCTTGGTCAGTGTATGATGATAGATAGACCGACCGTGCTAACACTCTAGTACTAGATTCTTAGCGATAACAATGTTCTCCAACTGGAGGAGCAACAACTTCAAGATGCACTCGAAAAGAGTCGAGAATACTGGTATCAAATTGCAACTTTTGCCTTTCACCTGCGGGGATCAGGCTTAAGTTCAGAGTTCACAAATCCCCGTCTCGCTCTACACAGAATCCCGAAACTTCAAGCCCGGTCTGAACGACTTCCCGTTCGCCCATATGGAATGACCCCTATACGCAGTCTTTGCTGCGAAGCTTCTTCAGTCTGGACTCTGTCAGCAGATCAGGATTGCGGTAAACTCAAGAAGCAGAAGTCACACCTCACCTTCGTCCAAGTTGGCACTGCTGCTGCTACTTCTTTCAGCTTCACTGAGGGCGCGTTCAGTTTATGGAACGGCATGAGCGAAGAACATTCCAACGTACCCAATTATCTGGGAATCCTCGCTCTTGGATGGTGCTATGTGCTATCTGCACAGCTTGTTGAGATGCGAGGTGAAGAGTCTTCTATGCAGTACACTCAATGCCAGACAGGATACAGCAATGAGAGTTTACCCGATTCCTCACAAGTCTATGTCATCGATGTTGGGGAGGTGGACGAGAGCGTAGCTCGCTGGTGGTCTGCAATACTTGCACCGAATGAAGGATGGAAAGCTACCGTGAAACAAACGCCCCAAGGGGAATTTTTGGCCCCGTGGTCGGTTTCCCGTACCTGCGAAACGCAATTCTCGATCAAATATTGGGGGACCATCTCTCCAGACCCTCACAGGACGCTCTTATCCTCACGGAGAGCTTTTGAGGCACTTGTTGAATTCGCACGTCTGCATGGATTGCAAGGCCAATTCCCCATTGCTCTTACGATGGCTCTGGCAATCCCCACGCATAAGTATTATAGATTGCCTGCCAAACTGCCTCTTCCCCGAGCTACTGGCTCTAAACCATTCGATACACCCATGGATGCTGAATGGATGAACTTGAAAGAAGACTTGCCCTACTACATGACCCTCAGTTGCAGCCCGGAAGTAATGATGTCGACCTTCTGTGGAGCATTCTGGGAGCAAGATGTTCCCTGCAATCTCGTCAGCCCATGGTTACACCCGATCATCAATGAAGTTCTAGGTGCTTTACCAGAAAGTGAACTAGAAGTCCTTGCGTTCATCGGTGCAATCCGCCAGCCATGTTTCAGCGCATTCTGGATCGGGGCGATCGCTAGCGGCCTAGGTTCAGAGATTCTCCACAGAGTAAGAGGAGGCCATCCACCTCTTGACCGGGTCGCCTTTCCCTGGACGGGGTGTCCACAGAGCTTCATGGACCTTGCAGGATCGGGCCCGTACACTTGCAAACACGAAAATTACATCTTGAGAGAAGATGTCTGGCGATTAACGCATTATCCTTCAACCGACGGGGACAATGAGAGCTATAAACATGGCCCTAGGGTACCATGGGCGCCGTGCGGAGCATCTCTCACAAAGGATTGTGCTCTGTATGTCACGGCACACTTGGACTGCCCCCGACATGGGTACGAGTATGATCATTGGGAGTGGTACTTGCCGGATGGTAATATAATGCAGGACCGAGGTTTCTCGGAACAAGTAGCGCCAGTTGTATCAGAGAATCGTTTCGACAATATCCACTTAACGACACGTAGGGAGTTTCAACAAACCCAGCTTGATCAGGAAGCTTCGAGGGAGGCCTCGGGGCAAGTGTATTTATGGTTCTTTTTCGGTGGGGAAGGACTACCCTCGGAAAGTATTTACCAGGAGGATTGGCTCAAGGAGATATGGGAAAATAACATGAGTGAGTTTGGCGGCGGCGAGTTTGACGATAGAGAGGTACCGGAACCGGTCGTCAAGTCTGGGGAGTTTGTTGATTCATGGCTTGATACTCTTAGTTGACACTGCTTAGGTGTCTCACGGGGTTGCTCAGTCGAAGAATTAGCTTTTGTGGGAAGAGGTTTACGGCACGTAATATGTTTCTAATCTTGAATGGCCTTGTTTCTTGATGTATTACAGCGAAACTCTGTGTCATCGATCACAATCACCTCCCGACAGCTCACGAATCAGTCCGAAGCCACTGCCACATATCTGGAACATCAATCCAGGAGAGAAGGCCGAGGTCATTCTCAAACGTGCTGGGGCCGATACCGGAATCTGTCCAATTTGTTGAGTCCAGTCCAGGGGTATCCTGGAAGGATGAATTATTTGGGCCACTGAGGGCGGAGTCGCGTGCGTCGGCTTCAAGATTCCGATCGGGATTCAATTCCACATTAGAACTGTGCCTAGATGAGGGACGGCCGGGGATATTTTGACTGAAAGCCGCCTGTAAGAAGCGAAGCGATGTCCGTGCAGATTGGCTGAATGTACCCATGTGTGCGAGGATCTTCTCGCATTTCGCCCAGGCTTCTTGAACTCTGACAAAATCGATCGAGTCGGATAGTGAAGGTACTGAGTGGGCCATTATGAGAACGAGGGCGCATGTAGATGTGTCTGTTTCCGATGGTCAGTTTGATGTTTTAGCTTGTACCGTGACATGCTCTGACATGAAGTTGAGGAGAAAAGAGCCACGTAGGACCACAAGAAGATGAAAGAGAGAATGAATGACCACTTACAAAAGCCATTGTACCACCATGCATCAGTGTATGGTGTCGAGTATGTCTCATAGATCAAGTGAATAAGCTCAGTTGCAGTGGAGACACAGGTAGCTGCACATTTATCTACTATGCAGGATTGTAGGGTGCTCTCCGCATCCTTCCAGGCCGGATGTTTGTTTTTACGGGAACCTTGTGAGTGTTGCGGCGAAGTATAATCTGAGCACACCTGGGTAAAGATTGGTCGGTAGAGAAGTAGCCGGATGTAGTAGTACCTGAGACAATAAGTACATGCAATACACGGTCACTGGGCTAGGGCGAGATTGCTTACCGTGAACGAAGGATATTTCGTTGACGCTCTATAATATCCGATTCCTCAAGGTGGCACTCTGGGCGACTAGAAGAGCTCCAGCTTAGATAGGGTGGTAGGGTGTCCTTGAAGGACTGTAGCTGCCGTTCAAGCTCTAGGAGAGGATCGAAATTGCCTTCGGACCATGGTGTAGATCTTCTTGGTTCCTCGTTGAACCGGCCTCGCCACATGTTATACACATCTGAAAGAATCCTATCCAGAATTCGATAGAGCTTGATGGTTGCCACGTAGAACCCCATGGTAAGAGGAACGTCCTTCCCTGTGGCAAAAGGCAATGGAATTGGGGCGAGATGGCTGGTCATGCTTGGCCGACCGTGTGTCATGCTCACGAACCTGGACAGTGGGTCAGTCAGGAGAAGCGATCACTTCACAGTAAAGCACTTACACATCTAGCATTACACATCCATGCCATGTCCTGCGCCGTACTTCCGTTTCTAATACTGTCATCGAGGACGCATTGTTGTTCTCATGTAAGCCCAGGCCTTGGGCGAGGCGGCATGCTAACCCAATGGCATTCCAGCATCTACTGGGGTACGGGCTGCTCTGCAAGTATAGAGCGACAATCAGAAGAGTCTGAACTACCCCGACTGTATGGATCTCGAGGAGATCAAGTCCTACGAAACGTTTGCAGCGGAGGAAGAAGGAGTGGGCTGTTGCCTCTCGCTCCTGCAGCGGAAGGTCCGAGAAATGGCATCCAAGCGCAAACATCCCATTTAGAGCACAATGAAGCACGATCGATTTGGGGGACGAGTCAGACCTTCCTCCGAGGCCGATATGCATGTCTGGTAGCTTGTTCATACCATCCATTTCCGACCTCCACAGGTTATCGTACGCTTTCTCGAAGCTGGGTCGATCGAAGAAAGGGTAGATGCAGGCCACGCGGTCAAAAAATCGATCCAGAAGGTGATCTGCTAGTGAGCGGGGTGGGAATGTGAAGTCATTGAGTCGGTACTGTGTGTTAGGTGACTCGTGATACTGGTAATCCATTGAGGTATTGGTACCACCTTTGGCCCGGGGCGATGATTGCAACGGGACAGATAACCGTGCAAATCTCATCAGTGATGCAATGGAGGAAGATCCATAGAATTCCCGAGGTGGAGCTGAAGATGCCAAAGTATCATCTGGCGTCGAGATTTGGCCCATTGCCGTGACACGACCAGGGGTGTCAAAGTGTGGAGATGCAGATGTCTGCTCTCCACGGAGGGGATTGCGGTTCGGATCGTTCCGAGGGTAGTTGGACATCCTTTGAGATGCCTGTTCTGCTTCATGAAGAGAAGACAGAGAATTCTGGGGCAAATGATCTCTTGGGATTGTTCCTGAAGTATGCAGGTTCCGGCCATCCGAAAGCCGCTCATCGTGGGGAGAACTGTCACTCTCTTGACACACTAGGCTACCTTTGGTAACCCTTGAGGAGGCTGACAGCCGATTCCGATTTAAATACTGAGATTCATGTGAAGGTGAATCTGTCTGGTGTGGTGAGTCCCTGTGTAGATCCGGTGCTGTCACCCCGGCCCGTAGGCATAGATCCTCGAGTTCAGTGATGCGCGACCGTAGAACCCGGATGTACCTGTTCTGTCAGCAAAATTACAGACTACTCTATTAGAAATAACTCACTCATCTTGACTAGCGGTCCTGGGGTTATCCATACTGTATGAGCATTGGGCAATTCCATAGGACTTTCGGTCGCATGACCCACAGATCGGTTTGCCTCCATCACAGCGGATCTTTTTCTCCCGGCATGGATCGCACGCCAATGCGACTTTCCGTCGCATGGTACGCTGTTTGGCAACACCGCTAGATTTGGGGGGCATCTTGTCCCTTCCTAGGCCTAACTAGAACATTTGCTTTGCTGTCACAGTGTATTGCATATTGATGTTATTTAGGAGCCAGCCAGCTGGTCGTTGTGGCACCGGTCAGCTGATCGTGGACTGGCTCCGGAACGATCCGAACATCTGCAGTTGAGACAATCCCCTTCTTTTGTGACTCCTGGTATGCAGAGAGACAACCCGTCTACATAAATTACGCCATATTTTGAGACCATTGAGGCCGTATTATCACAAATTCTTATAATGTTTCATTTACAATGCGAAACAGCGAGTAGTTCTGGCCGAGTCCAACAGCTGGCCGGATATCTCGGCAAACCTGGTAAACCTTCTGCTCGGGATGCACCCGAGACGTGATGCAGTGGCTGAACTTAGATGATGTATTTCCTGTATATATAAACCTTTGATTTTCTGTCAATCATTTTCATCCTGTCAGTACATAGAGTACACTTTCTGAACCTCGCTTGTCTTGAAGAACAATGTCGAAGATCGATACCCATCATCACTTTGTGCCGCAGTTCTATGCCGAAGGTACGCCTAACCCACGTTCGCCCAGACTATATCTCATCATACATCCATACTGACTTAACTGTTTTGAACGGCCTAGCGGTCGAAAATGCAGGAGGTGACCCCTCCGGCTGGCCAACCCCGAAATGGAGCGCTGAAGCATCACTGGCTTCTATGAATAAGAATGGCACTCAGAAAGCGATCTTGTCTTTAACAGCCCCCGGAGCTGTCATCGCCCCGAACGACAACGGCCGGCGCACCTTGGCCCGACAGGCAAACGAATATACGGCCCAATTGAGGGACGAGCAGCCAGAAAGATTCGGGTTTTTTGCGGCATTGCCATGCCTGCTAGACACCGAGGGCACACTCGAAGAAATTCGGTACAGTCTAGATGTACTCAAGGCTGAAGGTGTAACCCTATTCACCAGATACGGCACCGGAAATCACTATCTAGGTCATCCGGACTTCCGCCCCATCTGGGAAGAGCTCAACCGTCGCAGAGCCGTTGTGTTCATCCACCCTACCCACCCAGCTGATACCAACCGTGTTAACCCCCAGCTACCTCAACCAGCCATTGATTATCCCCATGAGACCACTCGCACTGCTGTGGACCTGCTTACTACAGGAACAAAGGCGGCCTTTCCTGACTGCAAAGTCATCCTTTCTCACGCCGGTGGCACTCTCCCTTACCTGATTTCCCGCTTGACTACCGTCACCAAATTTCCCGAGATGGAGTACAAACCCTATGGTCGCGGCCCAGAGGAGATGGTGGAAGACTTCAAGTCATTCTATTTTGACTTGGCTCTATCCAGCTCACCAGCTGTGCTGACTCTTCTACTGAGCCTTGTGCCTCATGATCACATTGTATATGGTAAGGGAACTGCCCTTCTCCTTAAAGACCCACCAGATGCAGAATTGTGTTCTGATGCTGACAGCTGCAGGCTCTGATTTCCCTTACGCGAATAACAACAAGATTGCTGGGTTCAAGGAGGCTCTGGACGAGTACCCTCTGGATCAAGACTTGAGGAACCAAATCTACTATGCAAATGCTCAGAAACTTCTCGCTCGTGACTGAGCGATACAGTGACAGCTCCCTGAATATTCGCGAATTGGAAGAGTTTTGTATATAAAGCCATACACTTAGTATAGTACATATCATGCAACCAGGAACCCCTAGTCCCCAATCAAGCTAAGCCCACCATGTGTTATGAAAAGTGATTGGAATAACCAAACAACCATGATGACTTGTGAATTGACTCAACCCGAAGCCGTAGTATTATACACAGCAAAAATAAATAGATACTGACAGATCCTGATTACTCTCTGATCAGCTAGGAAATTCTATACCTGCGTTGTCTCCTTTCAATGGGCCTCCTACATCAACAACAATTCCTCAAACCCGACTTCTGCCCTTCTCCAAGCTCAATCATTTTGTGGAAACAACCATTAATAATTTCCCTAAATATATCCACCTTCCAGTTGTGGGCTGCTGAAGCTTTTGTTGAGCCGCGAGTAAAGGTCAGCTTTAGGGCCAAGAATTCGAAAGCACCCAGCAGAGCAAAATCAAGCCAAAGGACGAAACGATTTCCACCCCAAAGTCCATTTCCCTGGGAAGTCTCCGCTTTCTGCTAAGAGGATCAGTATTAGATAGCATGAGTACTCCTTCTTGATCAAGTACTGACCTTGAAGTTCCAGTCCCACCATGTGGGAAACAAATTGCGCCACCAGAAGTGAGCCTGGGTCCATGGATACAGGCGATCTGGCTGTACGACGGAGACTCAGATAGAGAGAACATTCTCGAATCTGGGTCAGAACTTTGGCTCAATCAATTTGCACATACCACAGACTGGTGCTACCTCAATTGGTGTGGTTTAAGAAGTGTGGCCCAAGGTCAGTCGCCTGTTTCATGCTCGACTGAACATGAAGTGGGAATTGGAGTCAAGTCTCTTACGACAGAAGTAGGGGCTCACGTGAAGAATGTCTAACAGCTCCAGGGGGTCACACAAGGGCATCTTTTTATTTAAAACCAGACCAATATTGCCCTTAGCGAGGAATGCGTTTGTGACAAGGAATATTTCCAAGGGCTTGGGAAGTGTTACACCCAAATGGCCATTTAGGCGCAAGATGCATCTACTCCTTGCCGTCCATCTTCCACTAAGAGAGTGCTCCATGAGTTAAAGTGATCGTGCTATCTCCTTTGCTAAGCCCAATGGCGCAGGTCCGAAGTCATCTGAGCAATAACATCCGCCTTTATAGCTGCAGGCACCCTTCCACCAATTCAATACACTTCAATACTAGGCGACCAATATTTTGAACACAACGGGCCCACTTCCCCCACGAAACTCCGGATCTCTTTCAACATAATTTAACCCACCACGGGGCAGGAGCTTTGTTTGAAACAGCGGTTGTATTGACTTGTTTACTCCTTCGCGAGACCATATAGAGCGGGTTTAGTCTGGGAACAAAAGCAATGATTTTGGTTCAATCAAGAGCATTAATCCGAGATTGGATCATGTCTCGCCCTGAATGACAGGCACGATAGAGTTCTCGAGTGACAAGCGAAACTCCCCGAAATGGGTTACCCCGGCTCTTAGTGCATGTATCAGTTCTTGATTCGATGTTAGCCATCCCGGGGTTCCTCCGAATAGCAGTGCCGCATATCCGATTTGCCCACGGAACCTTCCGGTGCCATAAGTAACTTTGATATCATGGTCTCGGGTGCGTCCCGGGAGTCTGGTCGGTTCAGTCCTAGAGGCACGTACAATGTCCATATAGTCCTGCAATATCATAATTCTGTCTGGAAACTTCTGCAAGGCACTGATGATGGACAAGGTTGGTTGCAGGAAATTTTTTTGCGGTTAGTCGCATTGGCCCTTTATCAACAAAATCTTCACCCAACATCGATTCGCGCCAATTTATATGGGAGACATCATTCGAAGAGTAAAGAACTAAGAATATAGGGTTAAATGTTAAGTCTTATATCTAAAGCTTGGTACCCCACCAGCTGATCCTGAAACACTACTAACGGGTGGTCAAGATGAGACGACCCGGCTTTCAGTGATGTGAAAGACTGGTTGTGAGCATCAGAGCCCGGAGTGTGTTTCAATGATTGACTGATTCATTAAGAGGGTTTCGTAGCTCATTGTATACCAATACTTACCAATAAAACAACATGAAGTGGAATTGTGAAATCTTCCGCTCCTGAGACATATCATGGAAGACCGCGTATGTTGTGTCTCGACAACAACATTATGCATCGTGTCGATCCTTGTAGAGGATCACAAACGTCAGTAAAAAGCAACCTTTAGGATTTATTTCTGTCTTGTCAACCTCGGACTCACCACTCTCCGGATGCAACACAAATCCATACACAAAAACCTCTACAGTGCTGGTAGCACTGCCGTGAGACCCCAGCTTCTATTAGAGCATCCAGTTCACTTTTCTTCCTCTCAGCTGCTCATCCGTGATCTCGTGTGCATTCTCTCCTCCAATATCAGCTAGCCAGTTCCGATGTCTGCTTTATCACCTAATGAAGGCAGCAGTGGAGCAGTACGTGAGAAGGAGGCTGTTGTGGAAGAAGTCTTGTCTGGCTCTATTTCATCTAGTGGTATAGATGTACCACAGCAGATAGAAACAGCCGGCTCACCGACATATCCCCCACTCGCCAAAACCATTCTCGTCGCTCTCGCTTTGTACATTGCTGTATTCCTCGTCTCACTGGTAAGCCTGGAAAGTCACAATCTGATTCTTCTCAATAACTGACTCTATATCTGGGCATGTGCAGGACCGTCTGATCGTGGCTACGGCAACTCCGAAGATCACAGATCATTTCCATAGTATTGGCGACATTGGCTGGTATGGAAGCTCCTATATGTTAGCAGCGTCTGCATCTCAGCTTACATACGGTCGCATCTACACTTTTTATCCCATAAAATGGGTTTTCCTTCTCTCCATCTTTGTTTTCGAGGTCGGCTCCGCTATCTGCGGTGCTGCGCCCTCCTCCTTCATACTCATCCTGGGCCGCGCGATCGCAGGCCTCGGAACAGCAGGCATATACTCCGGAGCTGTTATTATCATCGCTCTTACTGTGCCCCTCCGCTTGCGACCGGTGTTTCAAGGAGCCGTCGGTGCTATTATCGGCGTATCATCAGTGTTGGGCCCGATTCTTGGTGGAGTATTTACCACAGAAGTCAGCTGGAGGTGGTGTTTCTACATCAACTTGCCCCTGGGAGGGCTTGCGGTGGTCGCTATATTCTTTCTGCTGGACGTTCCTCCACCTGAAAAGGGGGACTGGAGCCTCAGAGAGAAGTTCAATCAGCTCGACCCCATCGGAAACCTGCTAATGGCTCCTGCTGTAACCTGTCTCCTTCTTGCACTTCAATGGGGCGGTACCACGTACGACTGGAGCAACTGGCGCATTATCTTCCTATTCGGTATGTTCGGGACGTTATTCGGCATCTTTGCATTTGTAGAGTACCGCCTCGAGGAGAAAGCAATGGTTCCCCCTCGCATCTTTAAACAACGTTCAGTCCTTGCAGGAATTGTGTTCACCATGTGTACTAGTGCAAGCACTATGGTCATGCTTTACTACCTTCCGATCTGGTTCCAAGCCATCAAGAACGTCGATGCCGAAAAATCGGGCATTATGAATCTCCCTCTCGTGCTCGCCATGGTGGTAGGCTCCATCGGTTCTGGCTCCCTCGTCAGCCTTCTGGGTTACTACAACCCCTTCATGTTTGCAGGCGTTATTTTCATGTCCATTGGAGCTGGACTACTCAGTACATTTCAACCGGACGCCGACCATCCAAAATGGATTGGGTATCAAGTTATCTTCGGTTTTGGCCTGGGCCTCGGTGTCCAACAAGCGAATGTCGCTGTGCAGACGTGCCTAGATCCTGTCGACATTCCGGTCGGCGCATCGCTTCTTATGTTTTCGCAACAGTTAAATGGAGCGGTGTTTCTAGCGGTCGCGCAGAACCTTTTCACGAACTTCCTCACAGCAAACCTGAACGACATTGAAGGAAGCTATGCAACATGGGTCATTGCAAGTGGCGCGACTACCATACGAAAATTGGTGGCGCCTGCAAAGCTGGCAGTGGTTCTTAAAGCGTACAGCGACGCCATCATGAAGACATTCGTTCTGGCGTTAGCCATGTCGTGTCTGGCTCTTTTCCCGACACTTGCTATGGAGTGGAAGAATGTAAAGAGGGTAGCTAAGGGCATTGAAAATGGTGATAATGCATCAGGGAGTAGTGATAACACGAGGCAGCCTTTGGGGGCATGCTGAGCTATGCCTAGAGAGTTTGGAGATCACAAGGGAGCTTCTTGCCCATACCTGGCGCGAGTCGCATCGATTAACTAGGGTATTGCTCTAAGATAATAGCTATACAGAATGCCCGTCTAAGGAGGTATCAGCGTCTCAACTCGAGACTTATGCTATAATTACAGTGTCTAATTAGAAGCTTTTACCATCATTCCTTGATAAGCACTTTCAAAGGCTTTATTCACAAGGTGTACTCGGTAGGATCTAAAGCACGGTCACTACAAATTCATCGACACCCAAGTATTAGCTGTGGGGACTCTTAACATCGATACAGGTCATGCGATAGAGAGTCGTGCTGTTTTCTTGCCTATGCTACAACATACCTTTGGCGTAACCCCTCTCCATTATCAACTGTCGCTTGCAGAACGCTTCGAAGTGATGGCAACACACCAATGAATTTATCCACATTTTCCAAGTCCAGAACTCATCATGCTCACCTTTATTAGAAGGAGAGCGACCTGAGTGTAAATGACTCGGTATCTCGGGCAAAATACTAAGCGCTGTCAGTTACCGACTGATGACCGGAGAAATGATGTTGGCTGGGGATGTGACCCTCGTGTAACTATCTTGAAAGAGTTGACTCATTCAGCGACGCTAATAGGATCTGGGTAACAGGATACCCATACCATCCCAACTGCCTGTTAGTGGAAATTTGAGGGATGATTTGAGGAACTCTCCAACACGCCTAACACCGGTCTGGGGAGTGACCAGTCACTTCGAACCAATGTTGAGCGCGCAAAAATGTGTGAGGGATGCCTGGGTCGGGATTCCTAGGCTATAGCGGTACTAACTCTCGTCCTACTTGGTCCAATGAAGAAAAACACCGCATGTGGTCATTCAGAGGCGCATCAGGATGAGTGGCGATAGAAACCCCGCTTCAGCTTCGTGAGTGCTGCCAATTCAGGAGGGAACGCAGTGTTGGAGTTGGATTCCAATAAGGGTCCCCATTACGCGCGCTTAGTGCGATTTATCCCACAATCACAGGTGTGATTGTTCTTGGAAAAGCGGTGACATATTCATGATCCAAAGGCGCATTTAGCCTAGCACCGCCCACTGATACCGTCTGGGTGAGCCGATGGCCACACATTTAAGTCACCATCGTGATATTGGCGTCTATTCACGCTCTCATTCACTCGACCAACTCGGACGCCAGCAGGCTTGGGTAGCCAAAAAGCGAAGCATAAGCGCCGCCCGGCAGGATCTCGTTAAATTCAGCGTGGTGTGTGGAACGGATACAGTGCATTAGCTTCCGGGCCGCATTCAAGAACAACCTAGCGGAATTTACAGAGCCTGATTGGCAAGAAAGGATCTTCGGACGGCTGAGGCAATAGTTGCTGTGTGATACCCCGCTTCTCCGATCGAGGAGATGTGATGCCGTCAATGTAGCAAGATAACGCAAGTGGGCGTAACGCTGAACCTCCCAACCAGCTGCTACAGGGATCGGGGCGGCTAACCTGAGTCACCATGCGTAAGGCCATCAATCAGAATGGTCCAATTCATCGACGGTGTTCCGAAGGTCAACCTCAGCTGCAGTAGCGGCTTCTAGTTCTTAGCGGTTAGCTTAGCGGGAGACACCAAGCAGTATGCGGCACAGTGAACTTGCAGGTGGGAAACAAGGCGCGACATCATCCCCAGGACAAGCTGTCATTCCAGACCCACCCTACTTCGTATCATCTGGTGGCATGAGAGAGCATCAATACTATTGCGTCTCTGACGGCATTTAAGGAAGATGTCTCGCTCTTCATCGACAATATCTCAGAATTCAATTCTGTATGAGAATCTTTTTCATTCCGGAACACAAAATCTACAGCCATCTTTCAACCAGTGCTTTCACAGATATTTGGAAGGCAATCCACGTAATGTTCGGTGCATTTCGCTGCAACAACAGTACAACCAAGGATCTGGAGTTCATTGATTTATCGAGAAAGGTCGGTATGGATTCTCGCAATTCTGCTGTACTGGTAGGTGATCTATTCATTATGGTCGGGACGACATATAAATATTGGCGATGCTGACATGTTGTCATCAGGCGTGTGAACCGTGCCGGGCTCAAAAGGTCAGTCAGTCAGCGATCAAGCCCTGGGTTGGACTAATACTTGTAAAGCTCAAATGCAATGGTGATCTGTATGGCTGCGAAAGGTGCCAAGAGTCATCCACCGATTGCACGTACCGCCCCCCTACGCCCGCATCCTCCACGCCGTTAAGCTTGAAACATCCCGCCTCAGATCTCCCAGCACTTCCCTTGAAGCGGCGGCGGACCAATGGTGTCGGAGCACTGCGTATACATTGCCCGTCGCCAGTTGGACCCACCCCCAGGACACAGTCACCACTCGTACGGCCCGAGCCTGTCTTGATCAATTCCTACCAAGACTGGGGTCAATTTTGTAACATGAACACGACGGAACACCCAGGGCTGAATTTGACTCTAGACGATAATCTGCCCTGTTACCCCACGGCGCCATTGATCTCCGAGGCACATTTGAAGCCCTCCCATTTGGTGTCGCCAGCTACATCGTATTCGGATGAAGGTCCCAGCGTCTTTGTTCGAAACCCTCATACCCCTGTCACGTCACAGGACCCATCTAAGAATCAGGGCCACAATTGCAAGTGTATCCAGTCCCTCGCCGACACGCTGGAGAGGGTTGGAGGTGACAACGACCAAAGGAGTAATATCGACCATAGTGAGCGTCTGGATTACTTGCTCACGTCTCTGCACACTGGCGTTGATACATGTACTCGGGTACTTGACTGCAGCAACTGCGATATTTGTGCCACAAACTCAATGATTTTTATGGCTTTAATTCAGCAGCTTGCCATAAGGTCGAGAGATCTTTGCGATCTACTACTATCGCTCCAAGACAAGCCACAGAGGACCTTGCCAGACGACCCAGCAGATCTCCAACCCGAAGCTAGCGTCTTTATAGGAAGGTATCAGATCCAAATCGAGGCTGTATGTCGGGAGCTCGTCCACACTTTGGCGAACATCCACTTCAGAGATCTTCGTCGCTTACTAGCACGACTTCCTGATATGATTGGAAAGAAGCCAAGGGCGAATAAGATGCTTACTGAGGCCACTGAGACTTCCGAGAAGGCGTCTCACATTCTTGAAGGGATTCTGGTCAAGCGTGCTGCTGAGAAGGCAAAGAATCACGAGTTATACGGCTTGATTACGCAGAGGGGTCCTTAAGGAATTTCTTGTTACTTCTATGCAAGGTGAGCTAACGTCATTCCTCTGATTGCGCATAATCTTCTTCTAAAGACCTATGTTTATGTTCAGATCATCCCGTTTCTTCTCCGGTCACCGGCTCTGCTTGGCTTGCCACCACCATTTTCAAGTTCATCCTGGCAACAGTATGGGACAAATTGCACATTCTCGGAGTTTGGGAGTTCAGCGGGGAACAAAGTTGGACTGAGCGTTTTCATTGTTAATACAAGCCTTGATCATAGCCATTTTTCCAACAATGTCAAATTACTTACATTTCGCATTATGCATCGTACATGAAGCAACACATCCAACAACCCGTACCTATTCCTGCGCTGGCTTGTTCGGTGCACCCTTAACCGGGATCCTGATCGAGCCGTCCTCACGCCTGGCTGGGGCGCCCTTGACAGGAATCCGGATGACGCCGTCGGTTTCTTTCTCTGGGGCGCCCTTGACTGGGATTCTACTTACACCATCATCCCGCTTAGCAGGAGTGCCCTTCACAGGGATGCGGATGGAGCCGTCGTCACGTTCAGCCGGGGCACCCTTGACGGGGATTCTGATAGAGCCATCCTCAGGAACCGGAAGGGGACTTGCTAGAGTGGTAGCGATAAGAAGGGCGCTTGCCTGGAGGAAGATGGCCGAGAGCTTCATGGTTAAATTTTGAGTTGGGAACGACGGTAGTACCAAAACAATAACAAAGATTTCCTGTGTGGGTGTTAGAGAGGGAACCAAGTACGACGAAGGCTGAGCGATACCGCTTGCTTATGAATATCCCATAGACTAGTAACTCCTTATCCCTGTCGCCCAATGATCCCATGCCTCTACAACTAGTACTCATACAACCGCACAAATTTCGGAATCTCCTCCGTAACTCCGAGAGACCTACAGAAGGTCCAACCAAGGCGAATATTGCGACACCCCTCCACTCCTCCTACCAAAGAGGAAATTTCGCCTAGAAACAAGAAGCCTCCGTGATGAGGCAATTCACCCGAAGTGGCTTAGGGCAACATGTTCACCTACGAATAAACCAACCACGTGCCATAGATAGGATACGCACATGGACTAATGCGAATCGCGCATATACTCGAACAGGAACGCATGAAGCCACATGAGAGGAGCCACATGCATGTTTATTAATTAGGAAGGTCGATAAATGGTAAAGGGAGGCCAGATTGCGCCGAACCGGTTCGAACCCCTCATTTAATATGCTAGTCCGGTGGGGCTGTCGGGGCTGAGTGTGATAGCTTCAGTTAGGCTGATTGCTACTGCGGATAGGTTTCGGAAGTGTATGCGAAGTTGGTGTCACATCAATTCTGGAGTAGGAAGCGTTGGTTAGTTGGGAGTGATAATGGTGTTATTTTGGGTTGATTGGTGGATTAGGTAGGTCTGGATACAATTGCGGTTATCCGATGTTCGGAGGGTGATATCAGCCCATATTGAGGCTAGTAATGGCATAGCTTAGCTTCATATTATCTTAAAAATGTCCTTTTAATTGGCGCTGTATGTGCTGTGCCGCAGTTACTTATCTTGCGAGCCTTTGAAGGCACTCTGCATTTCTACATCCCCTTTGTCACACCAAAATCCGGGCAATCCATTAGAGCCATCATGGGCTTCGAGTACGAACGGTAATCAAATTCTCTCCCTACAGTCCACACTACATACATAGATACTAATACACAAGAACAAACGTAGGGTAACCAACGCCCGCTCCGATCCTGAGCTGGCAACTCCCAAAGACGCAGGCGATGAAGAAGACGAGGCTCTCCTACAACCCAACACAACCAACACCAACAACTCTTCTCCCAAATACTACCCCTCCTACCTCCTCAACCACATAAAAACCCTCCTCCTCTCAACCCCAAAATCTTTCCTCCTCCGAAACACCCTCATCCTTTTCCTCGCCGTTTGGGGCCTCATCAGCCTCACACACACCCTCATCCTCTCCACCCTTCCCACGAATACGCACCCTCTCACCCCAAAAACTTGCCACTGCGGCAACTCCACCACCGAAGCCCTCACTCTAGGGTGCAAGTTCGACTCCCTAGCCGCAGCCTGGCTTCCACCACACTGCCGCGACGACGAGCTCACCGCGGAGTTCGAGCGCGCTGGGCCTAATCCCGACGGGAGCTGGACGTACTACGCAGACGATTACCACACCGTTCCCATGGCTATTGAGGAAGTTGCGGCTCTGGCGGATAATCAGTCTGCCAGAGTGCAAATGACGAGGGATTGGCATGTCGTGCATTGTTTGTTTTATTGGAGGAAGATGTTCCGCGTTAGGGACTTGGATGGTGTGATTGTGGAGCCTAGCTTTGATCAAGAGGAGCATATTAAGCATTGTATTGGGGTGGTGTTGGAGGATAGTTGGGGGACTGAGGCGAGGGTGGCGTTGGATACGTAAGTTTTGGTGGGGGATATGGGGTGATTGTATTGTATTGCTATCTATGAGTTACTATATACTATTGGTGGCTATCACTCTGACACTGAGTATGCAACTGGACCGCCTGGAGAAGTTGGTAGTCTGGCAGTTAGAACCTCGACTCCGTCGGCTGTTACGAGGAGCGTATGCTCTGCGAAAATGTTAGTACACATAGAACTTGTATCCTTGTAGGCATAGTATACTCACCAAACTGCGCCGTTCTCTTCCCATCCATCGTCACCGCCGTCCAATTATCCGGCCAGATCATATCCCTATGCGTCCCCAGCGCCACCATCGGCTCAATCGTAAAGCACATACCCTCCTTTGCTGCTCCGACGGCCTTATTTCCAGCATAGTGCGGCACACTCGGCAAACAATGAAACACTGTGTTGATACCGTGTCCACAGAACGATCGAATCACACTGCAGTCTCTCTTCCGCGCATGCGCTTCAATCACATCCCCATAAGCCCGGAACAACGCCCCAGGCTTGACCAGCTCAATCGCCATGTCCAGACACTCCCGGGCTGTTTCGACAACCCGGACGGAGTCGGGATCCACTTTCGCCTTGTCCCCGACGTAGTACGTCTCATTGAGATCGCCGTGGTACCCGCCGTGGTAAAGCGTGACGTCAATATTGAGGATGTCACCATCCACCAGCACGCGCTGGTCGGGGATACCGTGACAGATGACTTCGTTGAGCGAGGTGCAGACGGATTTGGGGAAGAAGTTGTAGTTTAGTGGGGAGGGGTAGGACTACATTTTTATTACATCAGTACTCATAGGTAATTCTGATGGAGTTAAGAGAGATGGAGTAGGTATACATCACGCTCTATACACGCCTTGTGCACAATCTCATCAATGTAATCCGTTGTCACTCCAGGCTTGATGGCAGCTGCTGCAATGTCAAGGACTTCGCGAGCGAGTCGACACACCTTCCACATGGCATCCTGACCTGCCTTATCTAGAACAGTGAACTTGGCTCTCCGATCGTAGAAAGATTGTGCACTTTGTGGAATGCCACCTTGCCAGTAGTCCGGATGTTGGATGGTGCTGGGGACTGTGCGACGCTCGGATAGTGGGTAGACGGGTCGGAGCGAGCCGGTGAAGTTGAACGATGGGAATGGGTTGTACAGAGTAGTTTCTTTTATTCTTCAGTAAGTCATGAGTGATGGAAATTATGCTGATGACTTACGCTTTGCTCGGTGGATGGCTTTGTGTATTCTCTTGATTGTTGTTAGCTTTTTTTCATGGGTATACGGTGTAGTACTCACCCAGCTACGCTGGAAGCAATCTTGTGAGCAGAAGAAGCTTCCTCTAATCTCTAGTTTGAGACAGGTGGGACATTGCAGCGTGCTACATTCATTGTCACACCCGTCACCAAGACATCTGCGCTTTGCGACAAACTTGGAGGTCATGGTGGTGGTGAGGTGAACGCAGCTGCGGTTGTGTGTAGCACAAAGTCCTTTTTGAGTATTCTGTTCGTCTGGGCAAGTGAACAATGTTGGAGGTTGTCCAACATATTATAGTACTCGTAGTTTTCAGGGCTGCCCCGCACGTTGTTCCTAGATATACTCCCTGCCATGTTGGGTTGCCTAATGGAGATAGGAAGACTGTCCAGCAGAAGCCGACTTCGGGACACCGAAAAGTTCTCAAAACTACTAGTTTCAGGCGCTTAAAGTAGTATTATCACTACCAATGCTAGTGGAGAGAAAGTACATTGCTGAGATCGACTATTATAGTGTGCTGTGCCACCTCCGACGGATGTCCGGCGCGACTAAACTCCGCTTTGTTAGTGAGTCCATTGGCTGGAAGATAGAATACAACATCCAGCTGTATGAACCAATTCCTACATTATATTTTACTCCAATCTCATTATGCATCAGGATTCCAGCATAACTCCGTTCTGAGAAACGATCCTCTCGGGCAATATCGATGGATGGCCTAGGGCTCCGATCCCCCGGGTTGACTGTTAATCCGCAGTGTGGTCCCGTGGTTGTATTTGCGGCGAGTGGGGCCGGAGCTAAGCCTAAAGTGGAGCGGGGATGACTAGAGTCAAGACAAAGAAATCGAATGTCAGCATTGTCTTTCTTCCTTCTCTTTCACCATCAGACCACTATTTCCGCGTCACGGTTAATGTCAGTATCGCGCCTTGAAATTGCAACATGGGATCGAAAAGCCCCGAAGGCCACCAGCAGACTCCTGATGGTATGTCATCTACGAAGCTCAAGAAGCTCCCTTCTGACCTTTCTGCGCCATGTAGCCTCCAACTCCTCCGAGTTCAAACCTGCCAATCCCAACCCCAAGCCTTCCCGCAATGGCTCCCAGTCAGCCGATTTGGATGGCGGAAATCTCGGCGATGATGATGACGATGACGGTGAAGCGAATGAAGAAGTGGAAGTGAAGACCTTCGCTGCCAGTGCTGGTACGTTCAGACTATATGGTCAATCATGTTGCCATCTGCATTCCTGACAATATGCTACGTATAGACAAGAAAAAGAAACGCAAGAAGTCCAAGAAGAAGACCAAAAAGGCAACCGTGCCACTCAGGCAATCGAATCCTCCCCGTGTGCTGGTTTCGACTCTCTTCCCATCGGGATATCCAATCGGAGAGTGTGTCCCTTACCGTGACGACAACACCTCCCGCACTACGGAAGAGGAATTGCGTTATAACTCACGTCTCTGGGATAAGGGTTTTCTCGACGAGTACCGACAAGCCGCCGAGATCCATCGTCAGGTTCGCCTGTACGCCCAGAATGAGCTCATCAAACCCGGCGCGAGTCTCACTACACTTGCCGAGGGTATTGAAGACGGGGTCCGCGCTTTGTCTGGTCACCAAGGCCTTGAACCCGGAGACGGTTTCAAGGCCGGAATGGGATTTCCGACGGGATTGTGCTTGAACAATGTTGCAGCCCATTGGACGCCCAATCCTGGTGCCAAGGATGTATTTTTGGATAAGGGTGATGTGCTGAAAGTTGATTTTGGCGTTCATGTCAACGGCCGTATCGTCGACTCGGCTTTCACCGTGGCTTTCGACCACACGTACGACAACCTACTGACGGCTGTGAAGGAGGCGACCAATACTGGCATCATGGTACGTCTTCCTCCCATGCCGCAATTCTAGATAGATAGCTAACTTCAACAGCATGCTGGCATTGACGCCCGAGTGAGTGAAATCGGCGCGGCGATCCAGGAAGTCATGGAAAGCTACGAGGTCGAAATCGCCGGAAAGACCCACCCTGTGAAAGCCATCCGGAATATCACCGGGCATGACATCCTTCAGTATAATATCCATGGTGGCAAACAGGTCCCGTTTATCAAGAACAACAGGCCGGACAAGATGGAGGAGGGTGAAGTCTTCGCCATCGAAACATTTGGAAGTACCGGCAGAGGTGTTCTTCATGATGATGTAGGTCTCTCTTCGTTCCCTGTGTTTAGCAATACTAATGCGCCTCAGGTGGGCGTCTATGGCTACGGAAGAAACACCGATGTCTCCGGTGCAAACGTGCGTCTTTCCTCTGCCAAGAATCTTCTCAAAACTATCGACGCCAATTTCGGAAGCCTTGTCTTCTGCCGTCGGTACCTTGAGCGTCTCGGGGTGGAGAAATACCATCTTGGGGTAAGTAGATGAGGCAACTTACATGTCGCATATATTCTGACCCATTATGCAGATGAGACATTTGATCGATAATGGGATTGTCGAATACTATGAGCCGCTTGTTGATGTGAAAGGTTCATACACGGCTCAGTTTGAACACGTAAGAGCTTCCTTCTAAATATGATCAGCTAAAGCCTAACAATTTCCAGACTATCCTGCTCCACAGTGGTGGAAAGGAAGTGATTAGTCGTGGTGATGACTACTAAGCATTTAGCCTCAGTTGAAGCTATATCTTTACCGTGACTAACGCAGGTCATGGCTCGGTCTACTTGTTTGCTCATTTTTACATTGTGTACAGTCGCTAGCCGCAACTGTGCAGCCTGCTCTCCGTCATGAGGCAAACATCTATGCACTCTACAGGATGTCATAAGAAGATCCGAGTGTATATGTTCGTTGTGACATGTCTCTCTTTTCAGGCCCATATTGTTTTACCATTTAGCTACTGAATATAAAGTTCAGTGCATCATATGATTCGGTTATACAGGCCGTTCTCATCAATCGTAAACCTCCCGGATTGGTTTCTTACCTCCATTGCCCACGTAACATACGCCACGACGCCATGCTTGTCTAGTGCTGTCTTGGGCTAACTCGAGCCGTGACTTCTTGAGACTGCATTGCGAGTGCTGATCTAGCTAATGAGGTTGTAGTTGAATGCGCATCACCCTTAAGCTGTATGTACTATACGGGGTGATCGTACATCAATAATTACTTGTCGGATCGACAATGTTGGTAGTTGCGATACATGATTCTAATATCTTCACATTACAGTGATGCGACAAACATGTATTATACCGGAAGGCAGTGATGAAGCGGTCCGTAGCCATGATAATCCGAGCGATTGACCTGTTATTGTTTGGATCTCGGTTCTCACAGGATTTTTAAGTGGACAAAGATCCCAGAATGAAGCATCTTATATCGAAATTAATCTTTGTCACCCAGCTTTTCTCTCCGAATATGTTCTTTTGGCATGGTTATGCATAATCCGGCTCCAACGGATTTTGCGCAGACCGAAATCCTTATTTGTGGGCAAGAATCACAGGACTACCTACCTGCCTATTGCCGAGTCCCTTTCCAGATACAAATTGGACTTGTTGCAGTCGGAGCCGAGATATCAGGCGTAGAATTTCCCTAGGTGATGCTGTTGTCAGCCAACAGGCTAGAGTACCAGTAAGTTAATCTAGAGCCAAGTGTTGAAGCTTAGATATAGTAGCTCGCCGTTAGGCTCTATAAGGAATGTAGAATATGTTGTCCTTCAACCCACTGAACTAAGTATTGTGAAGTGAAACTGGTCTTGCTTATCCCCGTATGAGTAATAGATGAGCCCTCTGTTGCCTCGTAGTGAACTTTAGTGTGGTTGGTCCATCGCGTTTAGAGTTAGGCATGTGGGGATAAATCGTCCCATTCACAGCAGATCATCGCGGCCGCGTTGATGTTAACCATATTGATACTTCCGGACACGATAATATTACTTTGGTGGGCATATTGAGCTGTTAAGCGACTTCTAACTTACTGGGGGTCATAACGTGCCGGAAACTGGAGGGATGAGCCTGAGAGTAGGTGTAAACTTGTGAGCTGCACAGCCTGTTTGAGTGAGGTCCGATGGCATCCGTAGAATTGATGCGCGGAGACAGAGCGCCCGGCAACGGCAACTTTTGTTGGATCCTCGGTTGACGACCTGGTACTTGCAAATCATGACAGTTTGCGATACTCATGACTGTATCCGCTGCCCAGCCCCAGAAAAAGCAGTCTAATATTCGATGAGTTCATTGTAGGTGATTCTCCTTATTTGGGTGACTTCTTAACGGTCCCATGCCAATTCACGGAGAATTTGCCTGTCGGGGGTCATGGCTGGTCATTTCGTAGTGAAAGGTTTTCGGTCTGAAAACGTACTGCTAGTGAACTCCCAATTTGGGCAGCGATAACGGCATCGGAGAGCTCATAGAAAGGCTCCTATAGGAACGGGATATAATGTCAATTACGAGGCGGGCGTGGGGTGAGAGGGGTTAATGCAATGCGACTGACTCGGTAAGACGCCCTAAGTCGATGCGGCATTCTCACCTCCCGAACACCTTGACTCTCCATCCTGCAAGAACCGTCTTACCACCAGGATTTGCTGCCAGACTGGCAACCTCACCTTCATTCCATAAGCTTGTTCACTTGATATAGTGAAGAGGCTTCCAGCAGCTGTCAGTCATGGGTCGGTGAGTCTGAAACCAAGGTACGTCCAGTCCTAAAGGTACCAGCTACCATTGATGACCATTTTTTCCGGGCTCAAGCCTCGCGCGGCAGGCTAGCCTTATGCCTAGGATCCTAAATGGCCATGACGGCTCCACATGCCGCCCGTCATGGCCAGTGTTTCTCCACTGCAGGCAACGTAGGAAGGCTCTTAATAGGTGTAACTGTCGAGCCGTTAGACCAGTGTCTAGCCGAGAGACACCAGGAATTAGCTGCAGGCCTTACAATTGAGCCCACTGGCTGCTCAGTCTCCAGTCGTAAAACTTGCAACCTGGTCTTGGGAGTTGGACAGAAAACAAGTTAAATATGGGGGCCCTCTGTCGTGTTGGGTTTCTTCGCAACTTTCACAATTCCGACCGTGGGCAGACGTAGTAGAACCGAACATGTCGCGCCAAGTTCACCGGCTGGCTCAGCCAGCCGACAAAAAGAAGATGCGGCTCGTTGTAGCCAGCTGCAGCAGGTAATGAGTCTCCTGTCAGCGTGAGATGCAGACACGCATATCCTGGTAGCAAGCCGAAGATCTTTCGGACTGACGGATGTCGATAACAGAACGGGTACTCTGGGTCTCCATGAAGCCCTGGAAATGCTTGGGTATACACCATACCACATGATCGACCTGATGCTCAAGGGTAGAAAGCCTCACATCAAGGCTTTCACAGAGGGCATCCTAGCTCATAATAATCGATTCTCTGGCATCAAGAGATATGAGACGCCAGACCTTGATCGATGGATAGGAAGTTTTGACGCATGTTGACCTTGAAATCCGCTATCAATGTTCAGCCGGGTGCTGACTTCCAGGTGTATTAGTGCTTGATGGAAATACCAAGCTATATTGGACTCCGAGCTCTGGCCGGTTATATCGAAGACCCTGACATCAAATTTATCGTGACCGAGCGCTCGCCCGACAAATGGGTCAAGTCGTTCAACAACACAATTGGAGAAGCGATCGTGGCAGGCCACAAGTTTCCACTGAACATTCTGAGGCGCTTTGACTCGGAAGTGGGTCAGTTCTTCAATCTGGCCGATGTGATGTACTGGGCATATTCTGACGGCACAAATCCCGGCCATCCGAACAACGAGGCGGCTCTTCGAAAGAACTATGTCGAATAGTGAGTGTGGCTATTCGCATTCACAGTGATAATGGCTGATTATAAGCAATAGCATCCGGGAGGTGAAGGAAACACTGCCAAAGGATAGACTTCTTGTGGTCCGACTTGAGGATGGACTGGGCTGGGAGGAGATCTGTCCATTCCTAAACGTGCCTATTCCCGAAGAGAAGTACCCTCGGGGCAATGAGCCAGACAAATTCCATAAGATCATCGAAGATTATTTGGAGCCAAAATTGAAGGCTGCTATGATCAATCTAGGCACATTTGTAGTCACAGTCGCCGGGATAGGTGGCTACTTGGGTTGGAGGTATTATCGCGGCCATTAGGATCATCAGCGCTTTCTTCAGGAGCGTCATAGGGATAGAACAATGACATCGATCGTGAGATTCAGATGCTCACTTGACTGTGGGGAATAGCTAGGTTTTATAAATGCGATCTTAGCGCGATGGCGTGATTTGGCTGCAATCTGGCTCATCGATCCCCGACCGAAGGATGGGCGAGTACACAAATGACGCCTGCCTCACGGGAGGACGATATATCGCTGTATTCGCGGGGCATAAATTAACTTATTGAGTGTTGTATAGATACACATATTAGTCTTCGAGTAAGACCAGTCGTGTGGTAGGATCATCCTAGGGGCAGATACGGATACCATTCAGACGCGACGCTATACTAGTCTCTTCCACAAGTAGCATGCTATAAGAAAGAAGAGTACTGCAGAAAATTGATAATTAATATAGGATAAGAGGCAAACAGTTTAGTCGGGTACTTGTTGAACTGAAAGGTCCATTTTGTGGGACTCCAAGTGTACGAGGTAAGCTTCACGAAGCAAGAATAGAAGGTGGAGAGATGATTCTACTTTGTATACCTCAGGCCTCCACTTTCCCAAACCCTACTCCACAGCCTTCTTGTGTCCACTCCAGCCGTCAACAACTACCATCATTTCAGTCGCATTGGTTCACCAACGAACCCCGCTGATAGGGGCTCATGATGGCCGTAATAGCTTACAATGAAAGTGGAACAGTACTCCGGGGTTGCCTTTATGTCTCTTCCATTGTGAGTATGCATCTTCAAAGATTAAAGCAATGCGCACCCTGGAAGAATTCCAGATTGACACATTATGGGAAGTGAACATGACGGATGAAATGCAGTACGCTGATTCCAGGCAACAGAAATTAGTTCCCGATCACGAGCCACTGTTTCCAACAGAGATTCATAATCATCTTAATATTGACTATCCAACTGGAAGAGTGCTTTTCCGTACGCATACCACTGACATCATCCCGAGGGTTCCTAGCCGACCCGCATTTGCGATCTACTGGAGAAGTATCCGCGGCAAGCCGATCGATCAATAGTAGGCTATATATATTCTTATCGCAGGAATACCCCTCCTAACCTCCCAATAAAACTCCATATAGACACTAGGTTCTGTACACGTCTCTCGCTTCGATGCTATAACACCGGAAGGAAAAGACCATCGGGACACAATGCCATCATTCAACCTTGCCAGTCAAACTCCTCATCTGATAATACAGCCTTCCGACGCTGCTCTCTCCCCACCTGAGAGCTACCTGTTCGTTCAGGATGGCCTTATAATTAGTTGTGGAATCCTCTACGCCTTCTGTTACATATTTTGCATGATCCGCACGTACAGTGACCGGACATACCCGTCTGCGTCAGCTAAGGGGATCCAGTTCATGAGTCTGACACTTGCCTACGAGCTCTTCTACGCGGTGGTGACCACAACCACCACCTTTGAGCTCCTTGCATTCCTGGCTTGGTTTCTACTTGATGTAGGATTTGTCGCAGTGGCAATCTGGCGAGCACACGAAAAGCGCGACCGGGCGTGGTTAGTACGGAGAATAGTAGGCTTCGTACTGGCGGGCATGAGCGTGCTGAAAGGGTTGACGATGCTGTGGCCCGATGAAAGGGAGCAGGTCACAGCATACTGGACGGGAATTCTGCTACAGATGCCGATCGGCTGGATCTGTTTGGCGACGCTGTGGAAGGAGTGGAATACGAAGGGTCATTCGTTGGAAATCTGGTATGCGGTTCGCAATTGCCTGCTTGCGTTTTTACACCGCTATAGGAGATGCTGACGGGGATACTAGGCTCATGCGATACTTGGGCTGCTATACAGCCTACGGGGTTTTCTTCTGGAGGTATTGGAATGTGCCACAAAACTGGGAATATGTGGCGTCGGTGTGGAGTACAGGGATTATTTTGTGGACACTGCTGCCTGAAACGGTCTATCCGTTTGTCTACGTTTGGGTGCATCGCACATCCAAAGTAAAAGGCGAGTAGACATACTTGACTTGAGTTCTAGACATATTAGCAAGATAGTGGTTGTGGTTGAGGGGATAAAATATACAGATACAATGTGAGGAATGAATACAGATCAGGGAATTTTCCAGTCCGATAAAAATTGACTAAAAAAACCTCACAGCGATAAGATAGACGCTCAAAGTGACGGGAAAACAACCAGGCGCTTATCCCACAAGTCGGTGGCGGTGTTGCAAAGAAAGTCAAGAAACTCCAGCAGATGCGCCCGTGCGCCAACCGACTTTTGGACGTTGCTGTCATGTGGATCGCGTCTCCACTGCGGGCGCCCGTCACCGATGCCTGAATTTCTAGCATGATCTCCCTCGAACTCCTCTGTTTCATACTAACTCACATCATGTCCATGCAGCAACCTGCGCAATTGACTTTGCTCCAACCACTGGACTCGCAATGCTCTTCATGCAGCTACGACACCGAGTAACCATGGCGCCGAGACATTGGGCGGCCCGGCGAAGACGAGGCTTGGTTGTCGTAAGGCACAATTCGACAGTGTGAGAGAAAATGGGCGAATCGGGTTCCTAAATCTGACGAGGCTACTAGAAGCCCATTATAGATCATAATCTTCTCTCATGGCCCTCAGAATAGCATCACAATGGGTTGATCGCCAGTCCAGCACAGCACTCCGATGTGTTTCTGTTTCCCCGATTGCGGTCTGGGTTCTTGCCAGCTCATACCCACTTCAACCCGGAACACCGCCATCCCAATCAAATGCACACAACTTTCGTGCATTCCCAAACACGTTATGAAAGACAACCTTGCATCTACATATGCAACTGACGTGGTTTCTGGGCGCTAGTCCAGGCGGCTCTGAGTTGGCTTCGAGAGACTTCAGAGATCCACTCATCCGCCCTTCCCTTCATCCCTTTCTTAAGGACAATCCGTGCCGCAGCAGCACAAACATTCCTCAATCCTCATACCTTCCCACCTCAACCAGCTTATAGACTCATTTCATCAGCCATTGGGCTAATTGATGGACACAATGGGCCAGAAGAACTACAAGCGGCTGTACTACAACCTCCTGCGCTCTCAGGAAAACGACGCACAAGTCCAGGAGATCCCGATAACAGAATACCCTCAGCCAGAGATAAGGTCAATCAAATCATTGCGCATTGCTCCCTGATGTATCTACTGACTTTGGGGCTTATCCAGCTGCTACACGACACCGATTGCCACCGTTGTCATCGGTCAAACCCACTTCAAGATCGCTGAATACCACCTGCGCCCTTATTCAAGCTTATCACACAACTCATCGGAACTCCATATCAGCGACATCAACGAAGATATCGGACATACGTTCATTCACTTTCTCAGCACCGGCTGCTATGAAACACTCAAGCCCACCGATCTTGGCCCGGAGAATTGCCCTTGGGCTCGCGAATTCGAGCGCAGCGTTTATGCCTATCATGCTGCGAGGCGCTACAGCATCTTCGGACTCGAGGAACACGCTAAACGGTATATGCTGACATTCAGTGAAGAAGTGTCAACGCGACAACTTCTGAAGACTGTTAGCAAGGTGTACTCGGAACTTCCAGGCCACGATTCATGGTTTGAGAGTTTCATCCGGGACAAGCTCGCTGCTGCTTTCGAAAAGGATGAATTCAGCTTCAGGTACCGAGTCGTGCGCGACGGCCTGGGCTCTGATGACGATTTCAACCGATTCTTGATGTACACGACTTTGGAGATCTACGCGGATAAACTGACTTCGCTGCGGGAGACCGCACCGAACGGACACCACCAGACCAACGGCCATGCAGAAATCCCTTCTGAGGAGAAAGGTCCTGCTGAAGAAAAGCAGTCGACCACCGAATCTCCGGATGAAAAGGATGAGAGCTCGCCACGGTATCCCAATGAGCCGCTTTCCGCAGATGACACGCCAACTGTCGTAAATGCTGTGAACTCACGGCCCCAATCGCCGATCCCACCTTCAACGGCTTTCTTAGCCTCTCCAGCCCAAAATGGATACAATTGGGCGTCATCTTGCAGCGATTCTCCCCCTAGGGAGTTTCCGGCATTTGCTCCTTCGCCCCCTTTGATTAGGCGAGAGACTGTAGACTGGGCAGATCCGGATCCAGAGCCAGAGCGAGAACCAAGCTTTCGGCCAGAGACGGAGCCGCCAACTACAGAACAAAAGCCAGATCGGGAGCTTGAGTCAGAGCAAACGCCAAAGCAGGAGCCCGAGCAGAAGCCAGAGCTGGAGATAGAGCAAAGACCCGAGTCGGTGCTGGAACAAGAGCCAGAGCCCGTACCTGAGCCAAAGCCCGAGCAAAAGCCCGAGGCGCAGCCGCAGACACAGCCGCCATTGCAACCCCTCCCTCCACCGGACCTCAAACGAAAGACAGAACCCGAGCCCGTGATCAAAACGGAGCCAGAGTTAAAGTCAGTACCACTCCCGAAGCCGGCGCCTGGAAATCAGGCAGCACCGGCAGAGCAGCCCGCTCAGCCTAAAAAAAAGAACAAGCCCAACTCACACAGAAGGAAGAAGAAGAACGCCCAAATGCATGCAGCGGCTGCTCAGCAAGCTGGGCCACAAGCCAACGGGTCGGCCGCGAAGCCATAATTCTGATGGTAAAGATGCTAAGAAGCGGCCTGAGACTCTGCCGTTATTCACCAAGCCTAAATCCCACGCTCTTTTGGAATATTCTCAAGTCACCCATCGGTCACATATCCTCGGCTTATAAGGATATCATGGATCTCATCCACTCGTTCGCTACCTTTCTTTTGTTGATGTACTATACACTCTTTGTTATCTATGATGGAATTGCTCGCTCGTGAGCCAGGATTCTGTCTATGAACCGTGTTTTAGAGGGAGGGCAACAGGAGATATTCTACCTGGGCCTCTGTCTCGCACATACCGAATTACATCACACAAAACAGTTCCACTGTAACATTTGGAACGTTTACCATACTCCATCGTTTCTTCTTCCTCATAAATAATGATAACCCCAATAGGATACTGTAGAACGATGACCCTGTAGCTGGAATGATAACCTATCCGAGCGATTGTCCATCGGGTAAGGCTGACACGGGTGTCGTTGCCTTAAGGCTCAGGATCAGAACGTTGTAGACGATCCCCTCGGAATGACATCACATCTTCGATTCCCGCATTCACCACATCATTATCATCCACATATGTTTCAGACGTTCTAGAATGGTTTACCCCAGGCACACCTGCTTTTGCAATATGGAGCACAGTTTATGGTAGGCTGGGTGAGCTTCATGCCGAGAGCCAGGATTGTCATTCTGGCGTCATGGGCGTCGCAGTAACCACCGCCATGAGAATTGCTCGCTACCATCATATTCACGTCATGGACTCAGACCACCATCTTATCAGGTCCGCCAGTATGCGAATATCCCTGCATCGTCAGGTCCCGAAATAAATATGTCCACTCCTCTGCAATTGACCAAATTCTTGGTGCATATAGCTCCCTCCCGACTTTACTCACGGCAAATCCCAAATCAGATACGCCAAATCCACCGCAGGAGTTTCTCCAGCCTCAATTCAACCGTTAATATGAAAATCGCTATCACCGGTGCTCGCGGCACCGTAGGACGTGCCGTGGTCAAAGAGGCCTCTCAGGCCGGCCATTCCACAGTTCAGGTTGATCGGACTGACACCGAGTACGATGGAACGCCCAATTCCGAGATGAAGACTGCCGACACGGCCAATGACTACGAAGCCACGCTGGAAGCCTTCAAAGGCTGTGACGCCGTTATTCATCTTGCCGCCATACCAGACCCCATAGGGAAGGACGACCAACTGGTCCATAACAACAATGTTACATCGGCATTCAATGGCTTTTACGCCGCTGCGCAACTGGGAATCAAACGATTCTGCTACGCGTCGTCAGTGAACGCGATCGGTCTCGAATATGCCACGCAACCGCTGAGATTCGAATATTTCCCCGTTGACGAAGAAGCACCACCCAATCCGACAGATTCATACGCACTGGCCAAGCAAGAAGCTGAGACCCAAGCGAGGACATTTGCTCGATGGTTCCCCGGGATGAAAATCGCGTGTATGCGTATCCATGCCGTGGCGTCTCGCGAGGAGGCACAGAAAGGACACAAGGAGAATTGGGAGGACTCGGCCGTCAAAAGCTTGTGGGGATGGGTGAGCCCGGATGCGACTGCCAGAGCCTGCTTATTGTCCGTGGAGAAGGCTGAGAAACTTGATGGGTGCGAGATCTTCAATGTTGTTGCTCCGACGACGACGCAGGACACGCCGTCGATTGAGCTTGCGAAGAAGTATTATCCCGATACCGAGATTCGGCGCGAGCTCAAAGGAAATCAATCGTTCTTCACGGCTGAAAAGGCAAATAGGATACTTGGTTGGGTCCATGAGGAGTGACTGGCCGGTAGGACATGTCGCATATAGAAACGTTTTCTGCCGACATCGAAGCGAATGAACCAAATCAGTCTGTAATTCCAACAAATAGCAATGCTCACAAGTTTTAAGTTAAACTGTACGTACTATGCTCGCTACTTTAATGGAACTATATTCTTCCCACGAGTCATGGTCGAATGGGGAATTAGAACTGCTTATCTTCCCGATCTCGCCAACTGGCAGGCTCATCACGCAACTGCACCCCTCCAGATGACGCCATTTCCACCAATGCACCATCTCCCGCTTCGCTTAGAAGCATTGATCAACTGCAATTAAAATGTAAACAGTGTCGTAAGAAGAATACTCTGTAAACTCGAAATTTATCATGGGATGTCATTATTGCTTTCTTTACTACATGGCTCTTGCACGTTCAAAGACCGTCCGACACACTCCCGATGAAGCAATTGAAGTCCAAGATCACGACTTGAAGGCACGGCTGACTAGCCAAGCCCTCGATCTAACCATGCATGAAGGGCCCTCGCTTAGAGTGGTTAGTATCTGATCACACGCGGTATGGAGTGCAGAACATGAGTGGCCTGCCATGAGGAGGTCCTTGCATTGATGCTCCGTTATCTCTCGTCGCGAGATATCTTGGAAATGGCGTGCCTTGGGTTGGTGGCTGCGAGCTCGCAGCTTGCATCATTTAAAGGTTCCGATCGCGGCCTACGACGAGGAAAAACTTGGGAGTATGCAGATTTCTGTCTACTACTGGCAACATGGCATCTCGAAAGGATGTCAGTCAAGAGACTGCCGATCAATTCAATCAGCGGCACTACTCAGACTCTTCGCAAGACCTTCCCTCTCCAAAAGACAAAGCCCAGGTTCATACACGCCCGTATGAAGATGCGACGGATGCGACCCTTGATAATAATCCCTTCGCAGACCCTGAGGTTGCGGAGCGCTATGCTTTCATTTATGAGAAAGCGCAGTATGAGTGTCGACATGTCTTTGACCCTACACTTACGTGGACAGCGGAGGAAGAGAAAGCGCTCGTCCGAAAATTGGACTGGAGGGTGTGTCTATGGGCTGTATGTAAAGGTGATTCTGTTCTGCTTGGAAATATGCTCACTTCAGAGGATAGTGCGTGATGTTTTTTGGTCTTCAGGTTGACCGAGGAAACCTTGTACAAGCTGTGTCGGACAATTTGCTGGATGATCTTGGTCTCTCCACGAATGGTGAGCGCAACGCTTCTTCTTATTACTAGGTCTCTGACGTGTGCAGACTACAATACCGGAAACACCATCTTCCTTGTCGCCTTCCTTCTAGCCGAGCTGCCCTCACAGTTGGTGTCCAAGCAGATGGGTCCCGATCGCTGGATTCCCACGCAGATGACCATATGGTCAATTGTTGCTGCTGCGCAGGCTGCTTTAAGTGGGAAAAAATCTTTCTATGCGACGAGAGCATTGTTGGGGATACTCGAGGTAATTGGAAGAATTGAATTCGAGGTGATTCATTCTGATTTCTATAGGGTGGTTTTATTCCCGACATTGTCCTCTGGTTATCCTACTTTTACACAAGCCGAGAGCTTCCAACCCGCTTGAGGTAATTCTGGTCTCCTCTATCTCAGCCCATTACTGACGGTCATAGTATTTTTTGGACTGCACTATCTTTAACTACTATTATTACCTCGTTTCTCGCATTCGGCATCCTCCACATGCGTGGTGTACAGGGCATGGCTGGCTGGAGGTACGTGTCATGGTTTCCTTTCCTTTACAGATTTAACAGAATCTACAGGTGGCTTTTCCTAATCGAAGGACTCATCACTCTTCTTATTGGTCTAAGCTCCTTCTTTCGCATGCCTGCCTCTGCTGTCGACACCAAGAAATGGTTCCGCCCGAAGGGCTGGTTCACAGACCGTGAAGTCAGCATCGTGGTCAACCGGGTTCTGCGCGATGACCCCTCTAAGGGTACGTATGCGTTACCATTGCTTTGAACCTTTGACTTCATTCTCACAATCCTCAGGAGACATGCACAACCGGCAAGCCATAACTCCGCGTCGCCTTTGGAACTCCCTCCGAGACTATGACATCTGGCCCATCTACATCCTTGGCCTAGTAGTTTATATCCCGCAGACACCAATGACATCCTACATAACCCTGATTCTCAAGGGTGTAGGGTTCGGCACCGTAAGCGTGTAACTTCTACAAATCTAGTATAGCATGCTAACACCAACTTCAAATAGTTCACTACGAACCTTCTCACCATTCCCTATAGCGTCGGCCATATCATCTGTCTATTATTGCTCACCCGTCTCAGCGACTGGCTTAAAGAGCGCTCCTTGGTGTCAATGATCCAATCGATATGGACATTACCCTGTGTTATTGCCCTCCGCTTCTGGCCTGGTACAATGACCAACGCATGGGGGACGTATGCCATCGTGACCGTGCTACTCTGCTATCCATACTGCCACGCTATCCTGGTGGGATGGTGCTCGAAGAACTCTAACAACGTGGGAACACGGACAATCTCGGCAGCACTCTATAACAGTGAGCTAACCTCTTCTATCTTACCACGCTACAAAGAATGCTTGCTAACAAAATTTTGACAACAGTGTGCGTTCAACTCGGCGCCATCATCGGAAACAACATCTACCGGGCGGACGATAAACCCAAATATCATCGCGGAAATTCTGCTCTTATAGGGATTAATATCCTGGCTATATTGCTCTTTATTGGCACGAAGATATACTATATTTATAGAAACAAACACAGGGAGCGCGTGTGGAACGCAATGACCGAAGAGGTAAGTACTATGTTCTAGGCATAAGAATGGTCAGCTAATTTGCCACATAGGAACGACAGGACTATCTGCAGAATACGACGGACACAGGAAGTAAGAGATTGGATTTCCGCTTTGCGCACTAGCTTTTCCTGTATAGCCATCGCTTGCAGTGACGAAGGACACATCAGCCAAACCTCACAACACAATCTGCGGACCAGAATTTAACTTAAATAGTAGACTAATGACCTTATGTGCTTTCGTGTCCATAGTCAAACAAAACAAAAAGATGAATCGCTGAGAAAATACCAAACACTCCCAAGTCAAAGTCTGTACTACCATCTTATTTGCGGTGTATCCTTCTATAATGCTGTGATGTACAACCCCATGTTGTGGACTTTAGATAAAATTTTGTTATTGTAGGTTATAGTACGTAATTTTGACGTGTTCCACAACTTGGATCGGTAGCTCAGTGGTAGAGCGTAGGATTGCAGATCCCGAGGTCACGCGTTCGAACCGCGTTCGGTCCTTTTTTTGCTCTGTTTGTCTCTATTTGTCGGCTGAAGTATGAGTTAATGCCTTTATTTGATCTTTGACTACTCTTTTTTTTTTGTTTCTTCTTTCTCTGTTTTCAGGAGGAAACACTACTAGTTTTGATATCCCAGTACTTCACTAGTGGTTGAAAGCATATGCCTCTATGGATATAGGAGATCTTAGTTTCATCTCTTGGTTGCCTTCAAATAGCAAGAACTCAAGTATTGTACAACTTCAATTACAAGTTTATCACTGTATCATGTGCTCATCGTTACACCCCCTCCCCCCCCCAACGACCCTAAAACATTACTGCCTAACAGTGAGTAGTGCTTTACCCCCGGAAATGATAAGTAGAAGAGAAAGAGGAAATGGAGTTCTTGGCTATAAACGGCAAGTGGTCTATAGATATCACTGAGAACCCTTACGAGTGGATCCGGAGAACTGAGACTGGGGTTAAGGCTGCAGCCTGCAGCCTTCAACCTCCACTTGGAGGCAAATCCATCCTCGATCTTCATTCGAATTCGTTTGAACATCTTAATGCAGATGGACCCTTGAATTGGGGAAACCGGTGCTGCCCCACTTGTTTCCCATTGCTCGTTTTCGTATATTTATTACCGATCGGGCTAACTGAACGACCGAAGTTATGTAGTTATGCTCCGCAGCCTGATCATAGGGCTGGAGGACTAGTATAAAAACCCTCATGCGACCTCTATAAGATTCCCTAGCAAGTACTGCCATCAGCTCCAGAACAGGTTACATCACATCATGTATTGTGGTACCAGCCTTTTCGCAACGCTTATTCTAGCAGTCAGCGGCATAACCAGCACCTTAGACTGCAAATGTGTAAGTTTTCAGACAAGCGTTATATTCAAAACCTACTTTGCGTGGTAGACTGACTCACTCTTTGAATTCCATTACCCCTGCAGTTCCCCTCCGACCCATGCTGGCCATCTGCAGATGAATGGAATTCTCTCAACCAAACCGTATCCGGAAGACTTATCCGAACTGTGCCAGCAGCGTCCGTCTGCTATCCTAACGAGCCCAACTATAACCCAGCGGCTTGTACGTCCGTCTTGGGAAACTGGACCACATCACAATTTCATTCCTCAGATCCAGTTAGCGTCGATGACCCGGTCTGGTCCAACAACAGCTGCAATCCGATTTATCCGGATGGGACCAGCATCACGGGAAATATGCATGCGGAGCAGGAAGGCTGCAGTATTGGCAACTACCCAGTCTATGTGATCAATGCCACCGATGCCAGTCACATCCAGGCTGGGTTGCATTTTGCGAAGGAGTGGAACCTGCGATTGAATATCAAAAATACGGGCCATGGGTCTGAACGCAGTATTAATCATGGGAGCTTGTCGTAAGTTGATCTAATCTACTTTCTAATACAGGGCTACAATCTTTGCTAATAAAGGGTAAAGCATTTGGACTCATCACTTGAAGAAGATCGAGTTTCACGAGCACTTCCAGCCTGGCCAATACAGTAAGGTCGGGTCGTCCTCCCAACCTGCGAATCTGACGACAATGGCTGCTACTCTCGGAGCTGGTGTGCAGGACGGTGAACTTTTTGCTGCACTTGCTCAACATAATGCTACGGCTGTCGGCGGAACAAACATGGTGAGAAAAGGACATTTCTTGCAGAATTGAAAGGCAGAACCCCTGACTGAAAATCTAGGACGTCGGAGTCGTGGGCTGGGCGACCGGTGGTGGCCATGGCCTGGCCACAGGCACATACGGCATGGGCGCAGACAACATCATCGAAGCGGAGATAGTCACACCAGCGGGCGATCTTGTCACCGCAAATGCTTTGCAACACGAGGACCTCTTCTGGGCTATTCGCGGAGGAGGTGGTGGCACCTACGGCGTGATTGTCTCGGTCACTGTCAAGGCATATCCCATGCCTCTGGTAACCATGATCAACCTTTCCCTTACCGCCAAGAACGCTACCGGCGAGCATGAATGGTATCGACTTGTTGCGAAGGCCCATGGCTACCTTGCTGAGCTTCAGAACAATGGTATCCATGGATACTACACCATGAGCAGCTCCCCGCAGCTAAACATGAACGGTGCTCTGCTATTGTACAATGCTAAGAACGGCACTACTGAGAGGCTCCTCCGCCCTTTTCAGAACTTCTTGAAGACCCAAGAGACTATTGTGACCAGCATGGTTGCGCCAATGATGACGCTGCCGCTTTATGATGTCGTGCAGATGATGCCTGTCGTTGAGACTGTCGGCAAGACGCAAGGTGTGCGGGCATCACGGTTCATCCCACGCCGGGCTGTTAAGGAAGATCTCGAACTCTTGGCCGATACATTTGAGGTCATCATGTCTCGCAACATTTCTGTCGACGTGAGTAGTCGTCATTTTCCCCTTTCCAGTACATATAGAGATCTCCTAACACTAGACGCAGGGCGTATCCGCTCCTTCAATCTCCGGCACCATGACCGGCAGTGCCATCCCAGTCGACAACGCTCTGAACACGGCTTGGAGAGATTCAGTCGTACATCTAATCGTCCAACAGAGCTGGAACGAATCCCTCCCGTCCGCCTTGGCCGAACAGACCATCTACAATATGACGTACGGCAGGGGGTATGCCCTTCGGCAGCTGGCCCCTGATACAGGATGCTACTTTAACGAGGTAAGCGCATTATTTGTTTTTTTTTATAGGCAAGGTACAAGATTCTGTTGGAAAAGTAAGGTTAACATGGGATTTCGTTATTATAGGCCAACCCATTTGAGCCAGAGTGGCAGACCTCGCTCTTCGGATCACATTATCCTCGACTCCATGCGATTAAGAGCACATATGACCCCGAGGGCTTGCTTTGGTGTCGTCATTGTGTTGGTAGTGAGGCATGGAAAGAGCATGTGGATGGGAGGTTGTGTCGGGCTTTCTAAGGTGTATGTAGATGATAGCAGTATACTAGTAGTGTAGGATGAGCAGTGGTATAAATATATAAAGAGTAACATTGAGATTGAACTTTGGAAATGTCACAGTCACTCCTTGGCCTTTTAAGTAAAACAACTTGTATCTCTCACTATACTATCTAGAAGAGTCAATGCTTTATTCAAACGTATGTTATTTAATGTGTGGCGTCTAAAAAAAATGTAGATGTCAAAACATTGGATATCTTTAAATGTTGATGAACCCGATCCGAAGTCTAAGTTCTATGGAGAGGAATATAATACTATGATTGCCAGATCTTCAACGATTAGTCAGTGTGGCCGAGTGGTTAAGGCGATAGACTAGAAATCTATTGGGTTCGCCCGCACAGGTTCGAGTCCTGTCGCTGACGTTTCTTTTTTCTTTTTTCTTTTTGCTTTCCTCCTCATCCATAAAGGACATTTTAATTTTTCTATTTTGCAGATCTTCATTGTTCAAATGTGTTGTGTAGGCGTACTTCTTGGTAAAGTCATTAGTCGACTGTGATAATGGTGACTTAAGTGATACCAATACTACTAGTACAATATCCAATGCCCCCTTGGATACCTATCCTGTGCGCTAACTACTATTGTGAAGGTGATGTGACCACCAAGTACCTGTACTGGTACTACCCTTTTGTTTCTTTTGATGTAAAACATGTCTCTATTACCATGCCTCACATCGCACACCACTATACCTAGCCATCATTTATACACCTAGCGAGTGACATTGAACCTAAAAGTAGTTGTGTTGCTGATCCCGCCGCAATAGCTCATCTCAACCAACAAACCAGGTGTACCATTCATTATAATCTGATACCATAGAACAGCAGATAAAGCAGTAGCTATAAATCTTGTCCATTATCAACCACAAACAATGACACAAACTACTGTACGAGGGCACGACGAAATTAACCTAGCTCCCTTCCGCAGACAACTCACAAGGAGAGGCCAGACATCCAATCAACCGCTCCGATGGCGTCAGCAACGAGCTCTCTCTCGCAACCCTTTAGCGCAGGAACACCACGCGTCGTCCTTGATACCCCTCACTATACACTCAATTGACCAATAATTGAAGTCAACAACGTATAGAATACCCGTGTATACCCCCCGCTACTAGTACAAAGTAGTTATGCCAATTGCCCCTCATCGTCCCATCCAGATAATCATTACCCGGCCCGTCATTACTATCCACCTGAACACTTATATCCCACAACCCCCCTCATGCACAAACAAATATACTCAGTCCATCGTTAAAAATGACAATCAGAATCCTCCAACCCACAACTCTCACAAACCCCCTTCCACCACCCACCATGCCCCCCTCACCCCGCCCCAACATCCTCTTCATAATGGCCGACGACCACGCCTCCAAAGCCATCAGCGCCTACAACACCAACATCAACCACACCCCTAACATCGACCGACTCTACCACGACGGCATGAAATTCAACCACTGCTACGTGACCAACTCCATCTGCACCCCCAGCCGCGCCACCATCCTTACAGGCACCCACAACCACGTGAACGGGGTCATGACCCTGGACAGCAAGATCAACAAACACTTGCCCAATGTCGCCAAGCACCTACGCACCGGCGGCTACCAGACCGCCATGATTGGTAAATGGCATCTAGGCGAGGGGGAGGACCATGAACCCACGGGCTTTGATTACTGGAGCGTGGTGCCGGGACAGGGGAGGTATTTTGATCCGGAATTTATTGAGATGGGTGGGAAAAAGGTGGTCGAGCCGGGGTATGCGACGGATGTTATTACGGATAAGTGTTTGGGGTGGTTGAAGAATAGAAGCAATGGGGATGAGAATGAGGCTGGGGAGAAGAAGCCGTTCTTCCTCATGTGTCATCACAAGGCACCGCATCGGTCATGGGAGTGCCATCCTGCTCATCGGGGACTGTATCAAGAGGATGTGGTGATGCCGGATACGTTTGACGATGATTACAAGAACCGGGCGAAGGCCGCAGAGGTGGCTAAGATGCGGATTGAGAGTGACATCACGTACTTCGATTTGGGGCTGGTGCAGCCTGAGGGAGGCGCAGAGGTTGGGGAGCTGTTTGGGAGTCGGTCTACCGATAGGAAGATTCCTAATGTGTCTGATGCGGATATCGACGGGTTTCGATTGATTGATAAGGATACGGCGGAGGTGTTTACGTTCAAGAGTAATGACGAGCTGCGCCGGTTCAAGTACCAGCGGTATTTGAAGCGGTATTTGCGGACGATTCATTCAATTGATGAGAATGTTGGGAGGTTGCTGAATTATCTGGATGAGGAGGGGTTGGCGGAGAATACGGTGGTTATTTATACCTCCGATCAGGGGTTCTTCCTGGGTGAGCATGGCTGGTTCGATAAGCGGTTCATGTATGAGGAGTCGTTCCAGATGCCGTTTCTGATAAGGTACCCCAAGATTATCAAGCCGGGATCGGTCTGCGATGATATTATCTCTAATGTGGACTTCGCGGCGACTTGGTTGGATCTGGCTGGGCTGCGGATTCCCTCATACATGCAGGGTGTGTCGTTTGCTCCGCTGCTTAAGGGGAAGACGCCGGCGGATTGGAAACAGGTTGCGTATCATCGGTATTGGATGCATCGGGATCCTATTCATAATGCGTATGCGCATTATGGGGTCCGCAATCAGCGGTACAAGTTGATTTATTGGTATGCGGAGGATTTTGACTTGCCGGGAACGCAGGAGGGTGGGCAGCCGAAGGAGTGGGAGCTATTTGATTGTGAGAAGGATCCTCTTGAGCTCTTCAATGTGTATCATGACGCCAAGTATGCGGACGTGGTGGTTGAGTTAACGAGGCTGTTGGATGAGACGATGCTGGAGATTGGGGACACCCCGGTGCATTGAGGGATGTGTATAGTACGTACAGTTAGGGGGCTAGACAATATCAGATAGAGTAGAAGAGGCGGAGGGCGAGAATATAGAGTGAGTTCAAGACGAAGCCATGTATAATCCTATAAGTCTAACTGTATAGCAATGGGATAATGACAACATGATTCCATATTGAAGATGTGCCTCTATACAATGACTTCACCCTCTCACATCACATACAAAGATTTGAACCTATGGCGTTGAAACTTGAAATAACAGACTGACTGAGACGAGTCAGTGGCACGCCCAATGTTGCTGCTTCAGGCCCCCCTTGCACAAATCATTATATTGATTAGCGTGTAATCCAAACTCCATACTGCGTCGTTGGACCTGTCAGAGATGTTCGTGGTTGCCGTTTATTTCTGAGGTGTACACTGTAAGCTAAAACTGTCATCGTACATTTGCAACCAACTATGCTGGTGTCAATGTGAGATCAATACGGCTTTGCACCTTCATGTTATACCCCTGATTGTTAGGAGTAGGATATGTCGCTCAAATTCCGCTCTTGAAAATTTTGGGAGAAGATACCACTAAGCTAAAGTGCAGTTTCCGTTTCTCTGGATAAGGGGTCCCAGGATCATACCACCAACAGCTCCCCAGGCCAGTCCCACCATAGCCAAGACTTTTACGGGCTAGGCAGGAACGAGTACGCGCCAGCTAACTCTTGGTACTGTATAGCTAACAACCCGCACGTTTCACCGCCGATTTTTCTGTGATGGTGTTGACTCTTCATTCAGGGTCGTTGTCTCGCATGCAGACGTCCACGAGCTTCTCGCTTCGCCGGTAATATAGGGAAATCACCGAAGAAGAAATAAGTTTTTTTGAGATTGTATATGAATTAATCTCGACTTCGACTGTACCCTAGACCATTCCCGATCTCAAGTTTTGAATACGAAAAATACGATTAAACATGCATATTGCCCCCCTCAGACGGCGCTGCACCGGACAAGTCCAAGTCCGAGACCCAGTAGTGCCTCTATAGCCGACGATAGTGGACGGGGAATGTCACACACCCCCTAGAACCCCCCGGAAGCAGATGGCTTGCGAATCCCGTTCTGCCAAGAAAGACAGATAAGTTAAGCTCATTTATGGGTGGATAATTGTGCTTGACTCTGATAATAGTCTTACAATCCCGCGAGTACCACCAGCCTTGAATCTCTTAGCTATCTTGGACCTGCTCCACTCTGGTGGTCCCCAGCAACTCAAGAACCTGTAAAAGATGCATTCTGCTTCGTGGAAAAACCTTCCTCGGTAAAGTCCGTGTCTAAAGCAGTTCGCTCTTGCAGGGCCCTACGGGTTGATCGACACAGCTCCTTCGCTTGGATAATAGGGCACGAACTCGTGATGTAGCATGTATTAGCCATAGATGTATAATGATGCTCGACAGAGTGCAGTGATTAGCTCCAGCAAAACGGATCGTATCAATTTATTGGCGGTTGAGACCGCCCGGAGTTCGACAACACTTAATATCGCGGTTTTCTTGGCAGAAAGAAGTCCAGTCCAGAACTGACCTCGACACGGGCGAGGCATATGTAACAATTTAACTGATATTAGGAAGCAGATATTGATTACCCTGCCATGCACCGCATCACTTTGTCCCAACCAGTGTGATCCCCTGGAAGTACAACGGGGTTGAGATTTCACACTTCCATGGATTCAGGTTAGGGTTGGCGCCGACCCACTGCGGGCCCGGAAGATGAAGAAATTGAAGGCGAGAATAGAAAGATTCCTGCGACGCCACAACCCACAATATCATCCCACCGCATTACCCCATGGGCTTGTAAGACATGAGATAGTCGGCTATCGGAGAAGCTGGCATGATCGCGTATCGGAAGAATGTCTGCGTTCGTGTGCACAATATCCCTAAAATTTATCCGATGATCAGCCGAGGAACCAGGGTCGGTCGGACCCCTGAAAGGAATGTCGCCGAAAGGATCATTCATATTGATTCGCGGACCCTGTAAATGCCCTAAAGGGTCTTTGCCAGAGTCTCGATAGTGGGATCGGCAGTGGCAGTTTCTAGTCTCGTCAGTGCGGTCTATTCCGACCGATCCGTAGTGTTGGTGGGTCCCAAAGCAGTCTATATCGATATCATCACCAAATTCCAAGGACCATGGGATGACGAGGAATATGCATTGGCACTGAGAATTGCCGAGACGATACATGCTCTGCCGGTGCATCCACCAAGCATGTTGCGACAGAGTGAAACAGCGTGGATAAGCTGAATGGGGCAGATGGAGGAAGAGAGCAAGACACGGCATCAGCAGTGGAGATGCCGAGCAGTGCCGAGAGCCGCCGATGCTTCGACCTTCAGCCCAAGCGTCAATCAATGCCTTCTTGGGTCGAGATTGGCCGGACTGTAAGCCCGTTAGCGTCTGAGATACGCCGGATGACACGAACCTTGGTGCTTACCAATTCTGCGATGCATGCAGTGCCGGCGGTATCCCTGGCTGAAGCGCCCATCGCCGTTAGAGATTGATACCCGGGTGGATCGGAGGGTCCCCTTGGTCTTTCCACCAATAATGGGGGTATCTCACTGCCTTGTTCAGGAACAGAAGCTTAGCATGATTCAGTATTTCACGTATAAAACTCTCTAGGACTTCCGTCGTTGAGATGCTCTATCCAACAACACCTCACTCTTCCACTCCTTCTTCTTTCTTTCTGTTGACCAGACCCCGTCCATTCTTTTGATCGAAACCTGTTCTGTTGACCAGAACCTATTCAAACAATCACCATGCACTCCTACCAGCTTCTTGGCCTGGCCGCTGTCGGCTCTCTCGTCTCTGCCGCTCCCGCTCCTTCTCGCGTCTCTGAGTTCGCTAAGAAGGCCTCCACCTGCACTTTCACCTCTGCCTCTGAGGCCAGCGAGAGCATTTCCAGCTGCTCCGATGTTGTCCTGAGCAGCATTGAGGTCCCCGCTGGCGAGACCCTCGACCTGTCCGACGCTGCTGATGGCTCCACCGTATGTATTTCTCAGCCGTCTCTCACCTTCGCCAACACGCTAACATCACCTAGATCACCTTCGAGGGTACCACTTCTTTCGGCTACGAGGAATGGAAGGGTCCCCTGATCCGCTTCGGTGGTAAGGATCTGACCGTCACCATGGCTGACGGCGCTGTCATCGACGGTGACGGTTCCCGCTGGTGGGACAGCAAGGGCACCAACGGTGGCAAGACCAAGCCCAAGTTCATGTACATCCACGATGTTGAGGACTCCACCTTCAAGGGCATCAACATCAAGAACACCCCCGTCCAGGCCATCAGTGTCCAGGCTACCAACGTCTACCTGAACGACTTCACCATCGACAACTCCGACGGTGATGACAACGGTGGCCACAACACCGACGGTTTCGACATCAGCGAGTCCACTGGTGTCTACATCAGCGGTGCTACCGTTAAGAACCAGGACGACTGCATTGCCATCAACTCTGGCGAGGTACGATATCCCCACCACCACAACTATCCAATCAGTACACATGGCTAATGGTAATGACTACAGAGCATCTCTTTCACCGGCGGTACCTGCTCCGGTGGCCACGGTCTCTCCATCGGATCCGTCGGTGGCCGTGATGACAACACCGTCAAGAACGTGACCATCTCCGACTCCACCGTCAGCGACTCTGCCAACGGTGTCCGCATCAAGACCATCTACAAGGAGACCGGTGATGTCAGCGAGATCACTTACTCCAACATCCAGCTCTCCGGCATCACCGATTACGGTATCGTCATTGAGCAGGACTATGAGAACGGCTCCCCCACCGGCACCCCCTCCACTGGTATCCCCATCACCGATGTCACCGTTGACGGTATCACCGGTACTCTTGAGGACGACGCCACCCAGGTCTACATCCTCTGCGGTGACGGCTCTTGCTCCGACTGGACCTGGTCCGGTGTTGACCTCTCTGGTGGAAAGGCCAGCGATGACTGCGAGAACGTTCCTTCCGGTGCTTCTTGCTAAATTACTCGTCTTGGAGGTGAAGCGAGACGGCGTCTCTAGGTCGCCTGGTTGTATATATCTATCCACTTGACATGTACTAGTTAGGTGGGATTACTGCCATAGTGTTAGTGAATAATGGAGCTTTGCTCGATATGGAAGTCCTTATAGAAGTAGATGAATCAATAGGTTTGTTAAAGTAATGGCCTTGGCATTAGTTAATACTGGCGATGAAGTAAATCGCGACGTGAATTATAGCGAACAATTACTGGTATATAAGCCGTCATTTATCGCGCTCTAAAATCTCTCTCTAATTCATATCTTCCTATCTTTGAACCACCGTTACCCCAAACAGACCAACAAGGTGCTTCTCTATCAACGTCAGACTTCGAAAGTACATTCCGCTATATCTTGATCCCCTCATGATAGGCCATAACAGGATGTTTGAGCAGTGTGCAACAAGGCAACCTCAAGGTAGAAACTCATATTATTCTGCTAGACGCCCACAGCATTTCTACATGAATGTTGTTGTCCACCGTCTAGAGAACCAAATCTTGAATTTGACGTTCCTAGTCCACAACGGGGAATATCCTAGTGCTGTTATCCCAAGAGAAGAGATCATATCGAAACGTAGGCCAGACGAAGGGAGATCAGTTACGGCCACGGACAACGAAGAGAATACAGTGGAAGCGAGCCATTATACGGATACAGGTCTCACGAATGTGAACTATCTGCAGGAACGACTCTTCGAGGCACAGGCTGTGGTCAGAGCAGAGAAAAAGATCTTTCGACTTGATACCCAGAGACTAATGCACGATAATGATATGCTTATCGCAATGCTCCAGTCGGAATAAATCAAGAAGCCCCGTGCGATTTTGGATCTAATATGTTAAGAGAAATCATGTGGATGACTATATGAAAGCCCGGAAGACAGACTAGCTCCGGCAACTTTTGGATGGATGATGTGCTGACCCCAAAGCAGAAGATCGAGCTGAAGCGGAAGTCTACCAAATATGACCCGTCTGAAACCTACTGGAGGATTG